ACAGCATCCCCAGGCAGCAGCTGCAGGAGTTCATACAGCAACACTTTCAGGCTGTGGGGAAGGAGCTGCAGCCTTGGACCCCCGGGGACTGGAAAGAGAGGTATGACTCTGGACAGGGGATGGGAAAGGACCCTTCTGTCAGGACGGCCTCCCTGAACCCTGTGGGGCCGGCACTCTTCCAGTCCCCGCTTCCTGCAGAAGATCTCGGATGCCAAGCTTCGTGTCTGGGCACAGCAGCTGAACCAGATCTGGAAGAAGCTGGGGAAGCAGGTAACACTGTCCTGGGGATGCCCAAGGGTCTGGCCCACAGCTCTGGGAGTGGGAGATGGATGGTTGTTGGGCTCCTGGACCAGACCTCTGCCTCGGGACAGTAACTGCTGCTGCTGTGTGTGGGGAGCCCTCCCTCAGCACAGTCCCAAGGAACTTTCTCCCAATTATTTGAGGCTCAGAGAGGTCCGTAGTTTGTCCACCTGGAGGATCCCCCTGAGTGGTCTCCCAGGACCACCTGAGCGCTCTCCAGTGGCCTGTTTGCTGGCACTGAGAGCTGCTCGAATCACCCTCGACAGCTTGGCCACCTTCTTCCTCACAGGGACCCACCTGTGCCCCGTTCTGCTAGTCCCTCAAAATGACTGAGGCAGGCTGAGCTTCCACTGATACCATGCACACTAGAACTTGGACAAATGGGCAGAGAAAGGAGCTGCTGAGCCCTGTGCAAGCCCCACACTGCTCCTGCCCTTTCTGTCCCTCGGCCTGATTCCTGGGGAAAGGCATTCACCACAGCTGGGGAAGCATTTGAGATTTTGTTCCCACCTGCCAGAGCTGGGGGTGGGAGGCTCGCCCATGGGGCCTGACTTGGATTGGTGATAGCCACAGAGAGGTGGGAGTGGAAGGGAAATGAGGGCCAGCACCCCCTCTCCTGCTTAGGCCCCCAGGTTGCTGCCTGGTGGTCACCTGCCAGGTGCCAAGCTGAGTGGTCAAGGCTTCCACACACCGATAGGTTGAGCCAGGACCCTGAAGGCTGTGGAAGAATGAGGATCCAAAGGCTCCTCATGGCCATGCAGCAGCAGAGACAGATCCTGGCTCCTCAGCCATGGCGCCAGGGCCTCTGCCCCCATCACCATAGCCTCCACCCTTGTGTGGCAGGTAGGCTCCCCTGTACCCTCTCTCCTGACTCCAGATAAAGCCAGAGGTTCTCAGCCAACCTGAACGATTCTCTTTGATCTACTCAAAACACCCCTTCATTGTGCCTGGCGGGCGCTTCGTTGAGTTCTACTACTGGTGAGAATCCTCAGGGGTTGGCAGTGGTGGGGGACGCAGGGATAGTGCCCGACTGGCCTGGCTGTTCAGGGCACGAGGGCTGACACCTGACTGCCCCCTTTCCCAGGGACTCCTACTGGGTAATGGAGGGTCTGCTCCTCTCTGAGATGACAGAGACTGTGAAAGGCATGCTGCAGAACTTCCTGGACCTGGTGAAAACGTAAGCAGGCTCCTTCAGATGGGACTGGGCAAAGCAGGCTTGCAGCTGGATCCGCCTTGGCCATTTCACCAGGCCCCCCCCTTTTTTGGCAGCTATGGGCACATCCCCAATGGCGGGCGCGTGTACTATTTGCAACGGAGTCAACCCCCGCTCCTGACCCTCATGATGGATCGCTACGTGGCTCATACCAACGACATCACTTTCCTACGGTGGGTCCCCCCCACCTTGTGCTGCCCTGCAGGACTACCCTTACTGGAAACCTCCCAGGAGGGGGGCCACCCTGTGCTTGGGCTGAGGCTCCGCTGCCTGCACTGCAGGGAGAACATCGAGACCCTCGCCTTGGAACTGAACTTCTGGACAGTGAATAGGACCATCTCTGTGTACTCAGGGGAAAAGAGCTATAACCTGAATCGCTATTATGTCCCTTTTGGGGGACCCAGGTAGGGAGCTGCGCCCTGCCACACACACACACACAGTCTTCTTTTCCATTCACTCTGGTTTGAGCATCACAGACCCAGGATTGGAGGAGCTGCCATTTAGCCTGGCCTCTCAGATGGGGATGCTGAGAGCCCTGAGCCACCTAGGGCTGTGGGGCCCAAGGGCAGCTGAGTGAAAATAGCTCAGTCTCCTGCTTGAGCAGAGGGGCCGAGCACCTCCTAGTGCTAGTCCGTACCTCTCCTTTTTGCTAGGCCCGAGTCCTATAGCAAAGACGCTGAGCTGGCAGAGACCCTGCCCGAAGGTGAGCAGCACGAGGCTGGGGGGAGGGCAGCTGGGCTCCTACAGTGGGTGTCAGGCCTAGGTCAGCTGCTGCCTTGTTCTGCTCTGTCCTCCCAGGGGACCGAGAGGCTCTGTGGGCCGAGCTCAAGGCTGGGGCTGAGTCTGGCTGGGACTTCTCTTCTCGCTGGCTGGTTGGAGGCCCAAATCCCGACTCACTCAGCAGCATCCGAACCAGCAAATTGGTGCCTGTTGATCTGAATGCCTTCCTGTGCCAGGCAGAGGGGCTGATGAGCAACTTCTACTCCAGCCTGGGTGAGCACAGCCCCCCTGGAGGAGGGGACTGACCAGCTTGGTTTTCTGCCTTGGCTAATGGGCCTGGCGGTAGGGAAGGCCTGCCTGCTCAAACCCCATCATTGGCAAGGTCAGTGAGTCATCTCTGCAGTAGCATAAATGTACTGGGCCCCCCTCATCATCACACTACCCCTCCCCTTCCTACTGTGAGGCCTCAAGGACCTGTGGGGGGACACCCCAGTCCACAAATCCAAATTCTCCCATTCCCTTTTTCTAAAGCTACACCTGGCCCTCTCAGAACCAGGGGGACACACACAGAGAGACCCAGGCAGGCCCAAGGAGCAGTCCAGGGCCATTTGCTCAGGGATTTTATGCCTCAGAGGCTTGAAAAGTGGTGGGCTCTGGAGAGGCATGGCCTCTTGACCAGGATGGCTCAGCCCCTGGGGAGGAGCACAATAATGCAGATTAAAGGAGAGTCAACAAGGGCAGGTCTCTGCTTGTTCAGTCCAAATGCAATGCCACCACCAGGGAACGACTCCCAGGCTGAAAGGTACAGAAACTTGCGGGCCCAGCGCTTGGCCGCCCTCAATGCCCTCCTGTGGGATGAGCAGAAAGGCGCCTGGTTCGACTACGACACAGAGAAGGGCAAGAACCTGGAGTTTTACCCTTCCAACCTCGCCCCGCTCTGGGCCGGCTGCTTCTCTGACCCTGCCACCGTGGACAAGGCTCTGAAATACCTGGAGGTGAGGGACAGCTGGCCGCTCTGAGCCCCTGGAGACAGGACTGCCCTCTACTCACTGAGCAGGGACCTGGCAGGCCAGCCACCTACCCACTGCTGTCTGTGCCTGTCCTGCCTGCGGGTCCCACTCAGGCCACCAGGGGACAGCAGTGAGCCAAGAAGAGGAGGGGAGGAAGGGCCCCTCTGCTCCCTGAGGGCCCAGCATCCTGGCTCCCTGCCCAGGCTCCACCCACAGTCCCAGCAATGTCTGGAACCTTCTAGGACAGCCAGGTCCTGACCTACCAGCATGGGATTCCAACCTCTCTCCGGAACACAGGCCAGCAGTGGGATTTCCCCAATGCCTGGGCCCCCCTGCAGGATCTGGTCATCAGAGGTAGGCAGGTGGGAAGGGGATCTGTGCCAAGGTGGACCCCAGCTGCTCCGGGACTGGGGAGGTGACTTAAGGATGCGGGACCCCTGGTCCTTTCTCTGTTCTCTCTGCCCCGCAGCTAACACATCCTCCCCCCCTGTCCAGTATAACCAGCCCTCCTCTCCCTCCAAACCTGGGCCCAGGGTTGAGTACAGGGTGGCCTCTGGTTCAAGAGGCCACTCTGGCCCCGCTCAAGAGGTCTCAGGACCCAGCCAGGCTTCATTCCCTCCGTGGGGACAGTAAGGCCCAGTCTGTTGTGCCAGGGACGGGGGCTCTGGGGATTCAGGTTCTGCTTGGGGTGGGGTCTAGGCTTGGCCAAGTCCTCTTCGCCTCGGACCCAGGAAGTGGCTTTCCAGCTGGCCCAGAATTGGATCCGAACCAACTTTGATGTCTACTCCCAAAAGTCAGCCATGTATGAGAAGGTGAGCTGGCAGGGGGTGTTCTTTGTCCCTCACCTTCCTCCCCCAGGTGAGGTGGGGAAGAGTCAGGCTTGGCAGACCCTGGACTGTGCAGCCAGGACAGTGGCGGCGCCCAGTGGCCACTGCCAGGCACTGCAGGGGCCAGAGCTTCAGGCCAGAGCATCTCCCAAGGGCTCCAAGGCTGGTTGCCTGGGGCTGGAGTGGTGGCTTGGGGACAGCTCCTGACCTACAGCTTGCCCTCTTGTCCCCAGTATGACATCAGCAATGGTGGACAGCCAGGTGGAGGAGGGGAGTATGAAGTTCAGGTGAGCAGGCCAGGGCTGAGCTGGCCAACACCTTACAACTCCTGGGCTCCACTGTCCACAAGAACCGACTTGACCCTCTGGGCCCCAGTGTGCCCTGTCTGGGGGCCCACAGGGAGGACCTGACTGGTGCTCCTTGGTACCCCTGGGGATGGGCGGGACAGAGCTCCTGGGGTAGGGAATCCCACACCCTCAAAACAGAGGCTTGGGCTCCTCTGAGATCTGGCCCCACAGGCCTTGCCTGTCTCCAGGAGGGGTTTGGCTGGACCAATGGAATGGCCCTGATGCTCCTGGACCACTATGGTGACCGGCTGACCTCAGGGACCCAGATGACTCCTCAGGTGCCCCCCTGCCTGGTGGCTGCCCTTCTGTTCCACCTCCTGCTCAGCTTCCTGCCGTGGTGACCAGGGACTAGCAGGGTGGCCTCACCACTGCCCCTGCCTGCTGCACTTCCTCCTCTGCCCCATCTCCCAGCCTGCTCTGTTCACAGTGCAGGGGGCAGGGCAGTGGCCTGAAGGCCAGGTGGTGGGGCTAGGGCCCTTCTGGAACCCTTGATGGGGTGTTAATCCTGCAGGGTAGAGAAGACACCACCCCGCCACCTGTGAACCCCAGCCCCATGCCCCACACAGTCCGTTCTTCCACACACTTACATAGTCCAAATGCTTTATTGTTCTGCTTATTTGTAAATGCTTACCAATACTGAAAAACACCCAGCCTGGCCCAGGCCACAGGGACCCGGGGCTGGGGAGGAGGGCAGGGGAGGTGGGCTTAGTGTTAAGGCGGCAAAGGGCTGAGGCCAGACAGCTGGAGGCTGGTCCTCCACTCCCCTTTTCCATCATCCTTAGGAGGCTGAAGCGTGGGCAGTGGAGCTCAGGCCAGTCCCTCTGTGGCTCCCTCCTGCCCAGTCCTTCCCTCTGAGAACTCTGAGCCACCCCCCTTCCTGTCCGGAACTCAACCCTGTAGGACCCAGAGGACACCCTTTGGCTTCCTCTCCCAGGTGCTGGCTGTCCCTCTGGTCACAGATCTCCTGCATCATCCCTTCCGGCTCTAGGCAAGGCACGAGTGAAGGGAGAGGGCTGGCGTGGGGTGCCGCAGGCTGCATGTCTGGGGACTAGACACAGGCAGGGGGCGGAGAGGTGCTCAGTCCTTTCCCCCTGCATGAGATTACCCCGCGCCTGGGCTGGAGAGATGATGGCGTGTACCCTCAGATGGCCCATCACTGAGCAGTGGGCTCAGCCATGGAGCCACTGCAGTTAGTATGTAACCATGACAATGAAGCAATCACCATGGAGATCATGGTGATGGTTCTCCAACCAGGGAATGGGGCTGGAACCTCAAGGGTGACACTTGAAGTGTCTGTCCCTCAAGCAAATTAAAAACAGAAACGAGGGAGACAGTGAGGCAGAGGGCGCTGGAGCAGTGCGCTGCCTGCGCTGGTGCCCCACGGGGTGGCTCTGCTCGGCCCCAAGGCCCTGCAGGGCGGAGGCAAGAGGATCTTTGGCAGAATCTGGTACCATAATTAGTCCTTTACAAAGAGAACACAGACTGGGGAGAGCAGGTCAGATTGAGCCTCTGTGGCAGTTCCTCCACGGTGTGGGCCGGGCACCGGGCAGCATTCTGAACAGGAACTGCGAGTTCTGGGCTCCCAGGAGGCAGCAAGTCCCCTCCCACCTTCCTCTTCTGAGCCCAGAAACTCATAGGACTGAATCCCTACAGAGTACCACAAAGTCTTCTTGCACAAAGGCCCTGGCCGCTCCATTACATCCTGCTCCTGTGAGGGCTGGCGCCCGCTGTGCAGCTGCCCACAGGGGCCAGCAGAGCAGCAAGAGGCTGGCGTGGGTCCTGGGGCCAGCCTGAGGGTCCCGGAGGCCACGGCAGTCAGTTCATAAACTGAGTGTAGCCCTCAGCCCCTGTGACGATGACATCCATCCAGATGCGCATGGCCTCCGCAGACGGGGCCACCATGTAGTACAGTCGGTCATGGGTCTTCACGCAGAAGGTGAGGGCTGGGTTCGGGCTCTGTCAAGGGAAGAGAGGAAGGGCTGAGGCAGGGCTCGCCAGCCTGGAATATTCTCCTCACCTGCCTCCTGTCTGCCTTTCCCTCAGCCCCAGGAAACCCCAGAGCTGAAGGCTATGTCCACACGCGCCAGGTGGAATGTTCCCCTTCTCACACCATGGCAGTCCTGGGCTCTCTGTACTGGTTTTTTTTTTTTCTTTTCTTTTTTTAGTACCAGGGATTGGATTGAACTCGGGGATATTCAACCACTGAGCCACATCCCCAGCCCTTTTTTGTATTTTATTTAGAGACAGGATCTCACTGAGTTGCTTAGTGCCTCGCCCTTGCTGAGGCTGACATTGAACTCGAGATCCTCCTGTCTCAGCCTCCCGGGTCACAGGGATTACTGTTTGTTGGTCCCCCTCCAGTTTCAGAAGCGAGTATGAAAGAATAGATCACAAGAAGACACTCCAGTGGGGATCAGAGTTTTTCAGCAAAAAAGAGGCAGGAAAGAGCTATCAGCAAGGTGCCAGGAGGGGACCCAAAGAGCAGAGGTCAGGATAGAGCTGGCATGGGAGGAGCTGGCGAGAAAAAGGTGGCACGCAGTAGGGCTGCTGGCCCCTGCCCCAGACACCTCTTGTTCCCTCCCAGATCTAGTCTGAGGCCCCTTGACCCCTTCTAGCTCCCGCTCTGCACTGCCCGCCCCCACCCCCCACAGCCCAACATCCTGCTGCCACCAGATTCAAGCCCACGGGGGCTTCTTGCTCTCTCTCCTCCCTCAGGCCTGGGCAAGTTAGAGCGATGGAGGGGAGAGTCAAGGTCAGGACAGTGGACTCAGAGGTGTTAATGTATGTAGCTATGGTTACAGGCACGTGGGGAAGGGTACCTCAGTCACCATAGTGAAGTGGAAAAACCTCTTCTGAGAAGGGGAGAGGGAGAAAGGAAGAGGAAAGTGACAAAGAGAACAGGGACTCGGCCGGAGCCTCCACAGAGGGCAGGCTGGAGGCCTTTGCTCCCAGAGTCCAGCTGGCCCACCCTTCCCTGTGGCGGCCCCTGCTGCCCCCCTCTGGTGCTCCACCTCTGACCTTGGCTGCACTGCGCAGGTGGTCATAGTACACTTCCTCGATGGCCTGGAAGTAGATGACCCCCTTCAGCTTCGTCTCATGCTTGTCTGCAAAGGGAATAAGGTCCAGGTGAGGAGGCCCGCCATCCTTCAGGACCCGGGCCTGAACTTCCCCGTCTGGGAAACGGGGTGATGGTCCTAGCCTCCTGGACTCCGAAACAGTGCTCAAAAAGGGAGCCCCGAAGACATGGATAATGCTCAGCACATAATTAGAAAAATGCAAAGTAGAACTCTAGAGAGAGGCCTCTGCTCACCTGTCAGAATGGCAAAAGTATACAAAAAAACACACACCACACTTTTGGCAGGGCTATGGAGAAAGAGGTAGTTTAATAAATGAAAACAGGAATATAAACTAGAAAAACACTTTTGGACAATTTTCTCATGTCTATCAAAATTAGTAGGCAAGTAGTACATGCCTGTAATCCCAACTACTTTGAGGCTAAGGCAAGAGGATCATAAGTTTGAGGCCAGCCTCAACAACTCAGCAAGACCCTAAGCGACTTAGCCCTATCTCAACAGAAAAAAATATAAAGGGCTGGGGATGTGGCTCAGTGGTTAAGTGTCCCTGGGTTCAATTCAGGGGTACTCTACCACTGCAAAAAAAGAAAAGAAAAAATTTAAGCTGATAAATATGCCCCCACCTAGAACAGGGAGCCACTTGAGTTGAACCCAGGGGTGCTCTGCCACTGATCTACCTCCCCAGCCCTTTTTACTTCTACTTTTGAAATAAATGAGACAGGATCATTAAATCATCCAGGTTGGCCTGGAACTTGTGATCTTCTTTCCTCAGCCTCCAAAATCACTGGAATCACAGGTGTGAACACCACACAAGGTTTCAGTCTAAACATTTTCCTGATTGTTTGTTTATTTGAGTGTTGGGGCCAGAACCCAGGCCTTGGACATGCTAAGCAAGTGCTCCTAGGGATGCTTAACCACTGAACTCCATCTCTAGCCCTTTTTATTTTTTATTTTGAGAAAGGTTTTCAGTAAGTTGCTTAGGGCAGTGCTGAGTTGCTGAGGCTGGCCCCATATTTGTAGTCCTTCTGCCTCAACTTCCCAAGTTGCTGGGATTACAGGCATGTACTACGGCACCTGGCCTATATTTTGATTCTTGAACCATATAGATACATTTACTTCATTTTAAAACAGAAAGAAGGCACAACACAGAGCCCTGAAGTGCTCCATAGCACATAGCATCCAGAGGTCGGGGTGGCAGGAAGTGGGAGCATGGCCATTGGATGCAAGAGCAACAGGAAGGGAGAACTTAGGGCCTGGGCCGTCTTTGTGTGGCAAACACTGCGCAATCGCTACAACCGATGCCCTCAACCACGAGCCTGGGTCCTGCAGGAGAGGTCACGCCAATCTCTAACTCAAAGGTGAGAGCCGCAGTAAGCTCCTCCCTGTGGGCTCCTTGGGTAACTTTAAGTCCGGGTCGTGGCTCACCTGCACCCGTGTCATGGCCGCGCTGCCTCCTTGCTCCAGCCTCCTAATGTGCCTGCCCATCCTCCACCACTCTTCTTCCAAGAAAATCTAAGCCTGCCGCTTCAGCCAGCCGCCTCCTCAGCTTGGCAAAGCCCTCTCACAGACTGGTGCCAATGTGACCCGCCAGCTTGTCTCACAACCTCCCCTGCAAGGCCAAGTTCTGTGGAGTTGGCCCAGCTTCTCACTATTCCCTTAACAGCACACGGAAATGGCCTCCTGCCCATTCCCTTGGCAAACTCCTATGTGATCTTCAAGACCCATTGCATGTGTGACCACTATGATGCACTCTCCACATAGAATCTGCTATGCTGAATTGGACCTTCCTCCCTTCATGAATCCGCCTCGCTACCACCAATAGGTTCCAGGCCCACAGCAGGCGCTCAATCATTGTGGAGTGAATGAGCCCTAGGCCCTGGTGTCCGGAGGGAATTCAGAAATTCCTCTCCTAGGAAACAGCGGCACAATAGGGAGAAGGCACAGACAGCCTGTTCATTGGCAGGCATAGCTGGGGAGTCCATGCGCACCTACGCATCCTGGGTTGCCAAGAGTATTAACGTGAGAACACAAACAAAGTATGCGGTGTGGTGTCTGGCACATATTGCACATCTGTCACTGCATCATTATGCCCTGGGCTGATGTCACACGGCAGACAGACCCTGGATAATGGCAGGAGCTCAGAGGAGGTTGGGAACCTCTGCAGTAGGGTAGAGCCATGGAGGCTTTGCAGAGGCAGTGTCTGACCTGATCCAGTCCAGGGGCTTCCAGCAGGAGGCAGGAGGTGGTGTAGGCTGAACAGGCCAGGCCCCTCCAGTCCGGATCCAGCCCCACGCCCATCTCCATCTCTTCCTCGGGACAAGGACCCCGGCTCAAGGCCTGGCCAACAGCTAGGTTCCCATTATCTCCTATTCCTTCCTTCACTGGAAATAGTAACACGCTCTGCCTCCACTTCCTTACCACCCACCTATCCTTGATCTTGTGCAATCTGGCTCCTGCCCCAAGCACAGCAGAAACGTTTCTCTCCACAAGCTCCAGTTCCTGAGTTTAATGGCCTTCAGGCCACATCATTCTTGGCCTTTCGTGCAGCATTCAGTAATGCTGGTGACACCCCCGGCTTCCAAATGCCTGCCCCTTTGGCTGGCTTCCTTCCCTGTATTCACTGCCTGCCTGAACTCGGTCCCCTTTTATTTCATAAACAGTAAGGAAGGTCACATATGCCAAGAGCCAGCCCTGTGGCACCTGACATATGGTGGCACTGGTTTCCTGCTGCCTGCCTCTCCTGTCTCTGCTGGTCTCTCCCCCTTTCCCAAGCGGAGGCCTGCCCTGGATACAGCTCTCTCTCTCTTCTCTGCTCTACCTCGCAGCAGCTGTGAGACCCAGGGAAATCTATCTAACCTCTTTGGGCCTCATTTGTAAAATGGGTGTAAACTTATGCTTTTCTTGTAGGCTTGTTACAAAAATTAAATCACTAAATCAATGCATAGAGGGTGCTTAGCCCATCTCCTGGCTCATACAAGTACCTGATAAACAGGATCTGTTATATTGTAGTTGTTATTATTATCAGTCCAACAAATTCGGCTATCACTCTGCCTCTAATACTTTTTCCACACCTAGAAGTCTCGGAGGACCACAACATCAACAGGCCAAACCTGGAGTTCATCTCCCCAGCTGTGTTTCTCTCTCTTCCAAAAAAGTCCCTCTACCTTCTCAGTCCAGGTAGAAAGGTGGGGACACCTTGCCTCTTCCTCTCTACACCTAGAGCCCAGGGAGGTCAGGGAAGGCTTCTTGGGGTATGTGTGTGGGGGCGGTGATACTTGATAAGGGACCAGGTTAGAGGAAGAAGTGGGACACTCCACATCTGGGTTTCCATGATACCAAATCCTGCAGCCTTTCCCCACTTCCAGGTTTCTAGTGGGATTGCTCTTCCTGGATTTGTGGCAGTGGGACTGTGTGACTCACTGAAAGGCCCTACCCATGGCTTTGGAACAGTTATGATGTGTGTCACTTCTAGGCTGGGGTATTTAATGCCAATGCAAGGCCCATTTAAGTATCTCTTTTCCCTCTGTCACTGTGGCCAGCAATGGTCTAGAAAGACATATTCTAAAGCAAAGACAACCCACAATGTACACCATATACATACTGGGAATAAAAAGGAAGACTGAAATTCTGAGCTACCAGAATTTGAGAACTGGTTGTTACTACAGCTTATCCTTGCTTAACCTGACTAGGATATACTCCAAGAGGTAAAAGTCCAAAAGGAGTTCCAGGGATAGAAACTACACCAGAGACAGAAGAAAGGGAGTTGAGGGAGCAGTAGGGGCCAGTTGTCTATCCCTGGACTATCCTGAGAGCCCCTTGGCACTGCTTAACTGCTTATCTTGGATAATTTCTAAGGGAACTTATCCAAAAGGGCATCCTCAGCCCATCCTGTGCACCTGCATTGTGTGGGGTGTCCCCTATCAGCAAATACACTGTGTTTTGTTTTAATCTTTGTTCAGTGTTTGCCTTCATGGTAGTGAGTTCCAAGGGACAGAGCTTCCACTTTGCTTATCATCAGAACTTACAGTGGTAAGTGAACCATGTAGACTCCATACACTTTCAGGAAGGGGAGGTCAGTTGTCCTGGGTGTTAAATCCCAGGGGTCCCAGTTCTGGGGGCCCCAAGTGGTACTCACCCACATAGTAGGAAAGGGTGCGCTTGAGCCGGTCAAAGACAAACCAGCGCTTCTTCCAGGATTTAATCTTTCCACCCATCTTGACCAAGTAGCCACGGCAGACCTGGTGGGAAGCAGGAGTAAGAAAGGACCCAAAGCGCAGCCCCTAAATCCTTCTCCCTGAGCAGCCTCCATAAGTATGTGCTGTCCCCTGCGCCTGTATCCCCAGGGGCTATTCCCAGTATTTCTTCAGGCCCCAATCTCTCATTAGGCCAGCATACAGGTCCTGGGACACAGACCTCCTGAGGCTGGGAAAGGAACAGAGGCCACTATCCCAAGGCCCCAGGAATGCCTCTGATCACAGGATCCTGTCCCCAGCAGTCTGGGGCCACATCAGCCTAGTACCTTACTGCTGAGCACCACATGCAAGCAGGTATCCACACCATGGCCTGATGACTCGATGTGGGTCTTCAGGTCAAAGTCCTCCTTCCGGATAGGCAGGTAGCGGGTCAGGGGCCGTGCCTGGAGCAGGGAGCAGGGTCAGCATTCTCTTCTCTTTCCCCATCATTCCCTTGTCCTGGCCCCATGGCTTCTCTTGCATCCCCTACAACCTGGCACTCTCTCCCAACCCTCACTCTGTCCCTCAGGTTTCACAGGCCTGATGGCAAAAGTGAAGACTTACATGCTAACTCTACTTAGGCCTGAGCAAAATGCCAAATGAATCCTTGCCTCAGTTTCCCCACCTGGGACCAAGACAGTCATCCTCACCTGGCTCCTGCCCCTCCTTCCTCCTCCCTCCTGGGCTGAACAAAAGACCTGATATGAACATCCTCCAAGAAAAGAAGTCCAATAGGAAATCTGCTCTCTAGAGCTGGGGTGTAACTTGGTGGTGGTATGTGCAAGGCCATGGTCTAATCCCCAGAAATGTAAAAAACAATAAAGCTGGGCATGATGGCACACACCCGTAATGCCATCGACTCGAGAGGCTGAGACAGGAGGATTGCAAGTTCAAAGCCAGCCTAAGCAACTTAGTGAGGCCCTGTCTCAAAAAATGAAAAGGGTTGTCGATGTGGTAAAGCCCCTGGATTCAATCCCTAGAACCCCTAAAAGTAAATAAATAGATAAAATAAATCTGCTCTCCAAATTCAAGTCTTATTCCCATCTGGGCCTCACTATCCTTACATGTAAAAGAACTAGATGATCACTAAGGTCTCCTCCACTTCCCACACTAACTAGAATCCTCAGTCAAGTGGAATGTTTTTTTACTCTTCCTTTCCTCGTAGAATCTTAAAACAGCAGGAAAAGGAAAAATCACAAATTAGTTAAAGAACCACAGAACATACAACTTCTACAAGGAACCCCAAAGATGGACTGATTCTAGCCCCCTCTGATACCAGACACTGGCATCCCCTGCAGCATGACTGAGCCACAGAACAGGGACTGGAAGAGACAGTCACCAACTGAGGCAGGGAAAAGAGAATTAGGCATTTGACAAAGATTCCGAGCTAAGCACAGTGTAATCCCAGCGACTCGGGAGCCTGAGACAGGAGGATCACAAGTTCAAGGCCGGCCTCAGCAATTTAGCAAGATCCTGTCTCAAAACAAAAAATAAAATAAAAAAGGAGCTGGGGTTGCGGCTGAGTGGCAAAGCACCCCAGGATTCAATCCCCAGTACCAAAAAGAAAGAAAGAAAAAAGATTCTGACAACAGAGGTGAACTAACTGAGTCCCTGATTGCTTCTTAATTCCCAAACCCACCCAGGTGATTTGCCCTTTAGCACTTATGTTGTTGTACTGCAGAAAACAGGTGACTGCTTGTCACCACTGTGGGGAGATCCCAGAGAACCCCCACCTGGGGAGGCCTGCAGAGAACCAATCAGAAGGGACGGCTCATCTGGATCCTACAGGTCCTCATAGGGCCAGGGGTTGGGAGCAGGGACACAGGTAGATGCCCTTTCCCAGCCGCATTTCTCCTTCTCCTGGCCCGCGTCTCCTGTGGAAGGGCTAGCTCGGGGCAAGGAGGGATCTCTGTCCGAGGAGAAGCTATGGCCAGGCTCTTGGAGTTGTGAACCCAAAGTCAGAGTGAGGTCATCTACCAACGAGGGATGGAGTGGAAAGATCCCATGCGGCTAGGGCAGGACACCATGGGGTGCCATATGCAAGACAGGCAGCAGGGCAAGTGGGCGAGAGCGGGCAGCACAAATTCACAAAGTGGATGGGGGGCCAGAGAGAAGCCAAGGACGTCACACTGACTCTTGACTCTCAGCTCCCATGTCTGAGAGGCCTGTCCAGACCCTCTTCTCTGACTCCAAGGGTCTGTAGGTGGCCTGCCACAACCTCACAACTCACCCACCACCACCACCACCACCAACACACACACACACACACACAGACTTGAACAAGCTCCAGTGGGTCTGTTTTGGGGGACCAACGGCAATCTTTTTGGGAGAACAATTTTGACAGCCCACCAGAGGACATCCATCCTCCTCTACAGCCTTCACCATCAATCTGACCATTGCCCTACCCTAGCACCCACTCACCTGAGAAAACTGTTTCTCCCGCATCTTGACCTCCTTCTCCACCAGCTGCTGCCTCCGAGCGCTCTCACTCTGCAGCCTCCGTTCCACCTGTTCCCGCCTCCGCCGCTCCTCCTCCAGGGCCTGCCTGCGCAGCTCCATCTCCCTCTCCTGTCCCCAAGGTCAGGGGTCAGTTCCCAAGGAAGCCCTCTGTGCCCCCTGCTGGTCCTCCTCAGGCCTGCAGAGGGCTACAGGAGGCCTGGGACAGTGGCCAGGGCAGAGGAGGCACCGTCCTCAAAGTTCACCTTCTCTGAAAGCCCTGCTGGCTAAGGATAAGCCCTTTAAAGTATGACTGTCCCGGCTTCCAATGCTGGTTCTGCCACCATTATTACCCTCACAGAATCATTAAACTCTCTAAGCCTCAATTGCCTCATCTGGAAAATGGGTTTAAGAATGCCTATACCTGTCAAGCACAGAGGCACACACCTCAAATCCCAGCAGTTCAGGAGGCTGAGGCAGGAGGACTCCAAATTCAAAGCCAGCCTCAGCAACTTAGCAAGGCCCTAAGCAACTTAGCGAGACCCTGTCTCAAAAAATAAAAAGGGTTGGGGATATGGCTCAGTGGTTAAGCACCCCTGGTTCAATCCCTGGTATCAAAAAAGGGGGCATGGGGTGGATTAAAGAATGCCTACTCCTAGGATTGTAATAAAAATTAAATGAGATCATGTATATAAATGTCCATCACTGATCCCAGAAGTAAAGTAGCACTCAATAAATAAATGGAGCTCTTAATACTTTATCTGAATTCCTAGAACATGGATTATTTGACAACTTTTTTTGACAGCTAGTATATTCAGTAGTCCTTCCCTAATCACTGATTTAAGGCCCTTGGAAACTTCAAATTAGTTTTCTGTGTAGTTAATATTTGTTATTGAACCTTAAACTTTATGGGGAAAAATATGATAGGACACCAAGTTCACAAAGAACTTATATAAACCATCCCAAAAGGTATCAGGGTCAATAAAACAATTCCTAAATATGGAGCATGTCTCAATACTTTATATGTCTTAAACAATGCTAAAAATTTTGCCATTTGCAATTTCTTCCCAGCTTAAAACTCAGCAGAACATCTTTCCCTCTCCATTCACCAAGAGATGCTTTGTTCTACTTTGATGTAAATAAGACTGAGAGGTACTCTATTCTGGTCTGCCATCTATATGTTTAGAGTCTTTTAAAACGAACAAACGAAAATCTCTAGCTGCTGACTGTCACTCTCATCTCAAAAGATGAAGAGCAAAACAAAACAAAATATTTTTTTAAAGTAAGCCAAGTGTGGTGGCTTGAGCCCACAAGTTCAATGAGATCACCTGGGCAACAGAGCATGATCCACTAAAATAAATAAATAAATGAAAATAAAGATGCAGAGTGCCTGGTCAGCCTCTGCAGACATTCTGCTGAACTTCTCTCCCAGGAACAGCTTCCCTCTGCCTTTTAGTTGCCCAGGATAAACCACTAGTCCCTCTTTTCTGAATCCCAGCTCCAAGCACACATGAAGAAGATGGGACTTTTCCAGAGCTCCCCAGCCAACACCTCTGCTCTGGCTTGGACAACTGCCTCCTCTCCCATCCTGGGCCTCAACCCCCAGTTCCTGATTTTCCTAACCACCCCCAAGAGGTATGACCTGCTAGACAGAAATCAAACTTCCCATGGTTCCCAAAAATCCCACATAAGGAAGCAATCAGATTGGAAGTTCCCATTCAAGAAATGCACGCTGGACAGGGTCGCTGTGCTGCCTTCCCCATGCTGAAGAGCTGTGAGGCTACATCCTGGACAAACCTCCTGTGCCCATTTGAGGAACACAGACTTTTTAAACACTCTATTCCCAAGGGAACAATGGGCACTTAATGGGGTGAAAGGGCTTGGGACAGAGCACAGGCCCTTGGCAGGCGGAGGGCAGCTCTGGGCCCCACTGCCTTCTGCCTCTTGGCCCAAGTTAGCCTCACCCTAGACTCCATGAGCCGGCTCTTCTCTGCATGAGCTTCTTTTAGCATCTTCTCCATCTCCTCAATCTTGCCCACGTCCAGACCACTGGCACTGGGAGGGAGAAGGAAGAGAGGCTGCATCAATGAGCCAAGGGGACATGGCGGAGGCGGTGGGCCTGGCGCGGAGGTACCTGGACATGTTGTCAGGAGAACAGGCCGAATTGCCCCCAGTGGAGATGCTGGTCTCCATGCTGTCCGAGCTCTCCAGGCTCAGTGTGTCATAAGCGTGCTCACCCTCGTCCCCACGCTCCCGCCCGGCTGGCAGGTGGTGCAGGATGGAGTGGTGCATGAGTGGGGGGTAGCCCGAGGGGCCTGCCTGGAAGGGCACTGCCCCATGCAGGGCATCCCACTGGCACTGCGCCTCCGCCGCCGCTTTCTGCTTCAGCTCAGCCAGCCGCCGCCGCTGCTCCTCGATCACCTGCTGCCCTGCAGGAGAGACAGGTGAGAGTCACAGTGGGCTACCCACCCAACCAGGAGAGGAGATACTAGCATCATCACAAATCATCACAGACAGAGGGAGGAGGCGAGCAGGGACAGGTTAACACAGGGCAGCCCTCTCCCAGCACCAGCTTCCCTGAAGCCCCAACAGCTCCAGACAAGCAACCCTGCCCAGGCTTCGCTGCCCGCACAACTGGCCACAGCGCACAGTCTGGTTTCACCATCCTTTCAGCATCCCGAGCCCACACAGGGCATGAAACTTGGCCAGGTGGTACCCTGGCAGCACGATGGCCAGCTGGCTGCAGCTTACAACCAAGGCCTGATCAGGGGAACAGGACACATGCACCCACTGCCTGCCAGGGGAGGAAGGAGACACGGACGCTGTTGGAGTATCGGGTTGCCAATGCAGCCCCCTGCAACGCAGAAGCAAGAGCAAGAGCAGGACAGAAGGCACCAGAGACAAGGAGCAGAGCTGAGGGCAGCCTGGGCGAGCTAAAGGGGCAAGGCAGCAGGGCCCTGGGCAGGACACATCATGCTGATGCTGGGGCGGGGGTTGCCTGGCCAAAGCAATGCCCTCAGTGACCAACGCTCTACCTGCTGGGTCGTCAGTTGGGAGGGGCTCGGCAGGAAGCAACTCGACTGATGTGGGGAACCCCAGGTAGAGGGTACGGAAGAGAGACACAGGGGGAGAGAGGAGAGAGAGGCACAGACATGGGCTTTTCAAAACAACCAAAATGCAAACGAGCAACAGGGACTCCTGGGTCCCCGGAGCCAATGTCTCAGGGAACCATTCTGGAGGTCTTCCAATCCATCCCCCTGCCTCCAGACAGGGCAATGTCTAGACCTACTTAGTTCAACAAACACTTCCCTTATTGGCTGGACTCTCTAGGAGAGAAGATGTCACAACCCCCTAGACCCTTTGTCCCCTGTTCTGGAGTCTTCTTAATATCCAGTGATGCTCTTCCTTAGGCACCTAATCAAAATCCTTTCTGCTCTTGCCCAGAACCCAGTGAAGGAAAAACAGCCTGTGAAAGGTGGGGAGGGGGGTCCCCCAGGGAGCAGTGGGGCTGGCACCATGGCCACTCACCCTTCTGCTGCAGAGCCAGTTGGCGCTTGGTCTCAATGTCCTGCAATGTGGCTGCCAGGTTGCGGGGAAGGCTGCCAGTGCCATTCTGGGTGAGCAGAGCACTCTACAGAGGGAACAGAGGGCCGTCACGGGGGCTCAGCACCCCACCTCACCCCCAAGGCCTGCATGGGTGGTCTTGGCCTCTCCCCAACATGGCAGTCTCCATTTTCCCACCACTCTGTCCTCAGACCTTTGGAGAAGGGCTACGGCCCAGAGTAGCCACACTGAGCTGTGAGGACGAGGAGGAAGAGCCAGAAGAGGAGGGGAGGGGGCCACTGCGAGTCCGGGGCAGGGGACTGGTGGCCTCACCATCCATCTTGGAACGGTAAACCTGGAGGGAAAAGACACTGCTCTGTGACCTCGGGCTCCCCCACTGGTCACACCCCCTTGTAACCTAGGCAGGCTGTGATCTCAGGTATTGCCTGGCACCGGGCCTCTGAGACCTTCTGGCTCCAGCTAACAAGAGCTTGAGCTTCCTCAGCCAGGCCAGTAGGGAGAGGCTCTCTGCAGCTGCCAGGCCTCTTTCGCAGACCATTTATTCCAAGGCCAATCCTTGGCTCAACCCTGGGTCTGAGAAAGGAACTGTAAATTGACCCATGCAAGGAGTCCATGTCAGTCAGGCAGATCTGCCTAGGACACCAACTGGAGACCAGTGTCCTTCCAGTCCTAGCTCTGCACTAACAGGCTGTGTGACCTCAGGCCATGCACCTCTGGACTCCGGGCCTTGGCTTCCTTATCTGCAAAAGGAAGGGGCAGCTCTAGACTAAATAACTGCCAAGCTCTCTTGCAACACTAACACAGAGAATATGATCTTTGGAGTCAAGAGACCTGACTCTCTGCAACTTTCTAGCCGTGTCACCTTGGCAAGAACACTCATCTTCTCCATGCCCCAGTGTTTGATCCGTAAAATGAGAGTTAACATCATCTCAAAGGTGAGAAGTGAGAATTAACAACACCTCAAAGGCCTGTGGGGGTAATTAAATGAATGAGAACATGTCAGAGTCTCAAGGCAGCTGGACACAGGAGAGGTACCACAGATGTTCTATGAACCAACTTCTCAAAAGGAACACGGAGCCAGATATGGATTACATATGCCAACACATGTAATCCTAGCAATTCAGGGGGCTGAGGCAGGAGGTTTGCAAGCTCAAGGCCAGCCTCAGTAACTCAGTGAGGCCCTAAGGATTTAGTGAGACCCTGTCTTGAAACATAAAAAAAGAGTTGGGAATGTGGCTCAATGGTTAAGTGTCCCTGTGTTCAATCCCCAGGTCTCAGCCTTAGAGGTACAGTGCCTTTACTCAAGAATGAATACTGAATGGTGGAAATCTCAGGCAGGGCAGCAGGTGGTAGGGCAAAGCTTAGGGAGGAGACTGCCTATCACCCTGCCCCATGGTCACCAGCTTGCTGCAGGCTCAGGAAGGCCCTGCCCTCTGTGACAACTCTAAGGAGGCTGGGGCATGTGTCTGGGAATGCAACTTCAGAAGGGGATGTCCCCTTCTTTTCTGTCCCCCAGTGTCACTCCTGAGAAATCAGGAGAACAAAATACTGACTGTTCTCCAAGGACACACTGGTTCTAGCTGCAACAGGCCCAAGAGTGTGGCCCCCATACTGGGAGGAAAGCTCTGGGGAGAAGCCCCTTCCACCCCCTTCCATCATGTCACCCTAGGACTTAGGAGGCTCATCCTCCAGCTGTCCTAAACACCAAGATAGCTGCCCACAGAGAGACCCTCATTGCTCTCTCAGGGCCCAGAGGCCCTCCTTGCCAGGCTGGGATGACCCACTACCCAGAATGCACTGTGTGGCTGAGGGATTAGCAGGAGGACTCAGTGTAGACAGGAGCAAGACTTGGAAGGCTAGATGGTGAGGAGGTTACCTGCAGTTGACGGGAAGCTTTGGCGGGCAGAGGCGGGGGGGAGGAGCGAGGGGAGGCTGCAGTGGGACCAGTCCCCAACCCGGCCATCAGCTCCTGGTACCACTGCTCTAAGTCTACAGCAGGGAGCAGCAGCTTCTCCATCTGAAGGGGCAAGTGGAGGGTGGGGATGAAGAGGAAGGGCCCGGACAGGAGGGGAAAGGTGATGGGAGGAAAAGGGTGCAGGGAGGAGAGGATGGGAGGGAGGATAAAGGAGGGTGAGGAGGGAGAGATGGACAAGGAGGTGAGGGAAGAAAGGAAGGGAGGGAGGGAGAAAGGAGAGCATAAAGAAAAGGAAGAGAAAAACAGTGAGATGACAGTTGGCTTTAAAAGGGCAAAGAGAAACAGGGGACAGCTCCCAGAGCACAGACCCTCACCTGCCAGCCAGCCAGCCCTCAGGCACTGTGCGAGCACTCCCCTAGGGCCAGCCCAGGGCCAAGGCCGGCAAACAAGGGTGGCACACACACAAACAGCCAGCCAGCCATGGTGGGGCAGCAAGAACACACAGACCACCGACCTTGGGTGAAGGCGTGATGGAAGCGAAGGAGGAGGGCAGCGCGGGAGGAAGGCAGGTGGCGGGAACCAGGTCCCGAGAGGCAGAGGCCCAGGGAGGCAGGCCCGGCGCGGGGGCTGGGGGTGTGGGTGAGGTGCCCCACAGCACCTTTAGCTGCTCAAGCGTCACGTACTTGGGGGAAGGCCAGATGCAGAAGGGAATATAAGAGGTTAATGGGACTGGAACCCAAGAGACGCCCTTCCCACAGAGGAGGGAAAGGGAGGAAGCACAGAGCAGAGTCCAGCCCAGGACGGCCAGAGTCCCTGGGCAGGATGCCTTCCCAGAGCAGAAGGCCCGCTCCTCTTGGGGCCATCAGGAGCTGAGAACAGCTCCCTAGGCTCAAGGGAGAAAGGGAACCAGTCTTGACCCCGCTGTGCCAATGTCCTTCTCCCTCATTGCTGAAGACAGACCCTGCTGTTCCTCCACCCCCACCCAGGCCCAAGGGGAAATGGAGGGCATCCACAAGGAGGCCCTTGGGCACAGATGGGCACACTCAGTGGCTGGTACCTCACTGTCAGGCAGGGGCTGTGTGAGCACGCTGGGGGAGGTGGCAGAAGCATAAGGGTCCAAGCGGAAGCACAGCTGGAAAACCTCTGCCAGGCTCACATACTCCTAGGATGCCCGAGGGGGCGATGGGGGGGGGGGGGCAGAAAAAAGGTTAACAGGATTGAACCAGGTTTCTAGCATCCCACGTTCCATGCCAGGCACAGAGCCATCACTCCATGTCAAAACAGAGCCCAGAGCAGGAGTAGGATGCTCACGTTAGCCACCGAGGGCTTTGAGAGCGAAGAGACTTGGAGAGGCCTGACTACTGAAGGCTCCTCCTGACCTCCACTTTGGGACCAAACTGGCATTTAGTCACTGCCTCCAGAATATCCTAAAGGCCCATCCCTGAGTCCTGGCTAAGGCAGGTGAATAAGCTCAGAGAAGATCTTCCAAAAGCCCACAAGGAGCAGCACCCAGTTCCTAGAAACCCTACCCATCTTAACCGCTGAGCATCCCCAGTGGGGCACACACATGCAGCATCGAACACGGGGCACACTGTTCCCCAGGGCCCCTCACACCCCATTCACCGGGGTAGAATTGGAAAAGAGTGAGTAAGTGGAGACCCCACTAGGGCCTCAGAAGGCAACCTCTGAGAAAGAGCAACTAAAAGCCCTGGCAAGAATATGGGCCCACTGCCTAGGGTAAGTACTTGCAAAGATGTTGGCACACTTGACTGAGTTGGGGGACAAGGACAATCATACTTAGAACTTAGAACCTGAGCTCATCTATGTGCTGGAGGCACAGCAGGCACCCACAATATATGCTGGATCAAAGCATAGATTCCTTGGCCTGCCCTATGCAGGGCACCCACGCAGGATGAGCTCCACAGCCAGACTGTCCTCTGGGGTAACTTAAAGGGAAAATGAGCCAGAGTGTCCAGTGTATTGTGAAAACTGATGAGTGGCATGCAGAATACATGCAAATTTAATATGCAAATCAATGTTCTCATTTTGCAAAGGCTGATCAGGCACTCTGTGACGACAGAATGGCACACTCACACAAACTCCCACACTCTGCCCAGCGAAAGGATAGTCATCACACGCCCTTCAGCTGGGCCCTAGGGAGGAGCTGTAGGCAGGAGCTCAGTGGGCATGCAGACAAGGCAGCGGGCAAAGAAGAGCAGGCAGTTAGCTGCAATTACCTCTTGTGCTTTGGGGCAGAGTGGAGTGGAAGCAGACGGGGTGAAGGAGACAGAGGAGACCCCAGCCTGAGAAGACCCCGGGAATGGGCCCAGAGCCTTGGTCCCCAGCCCCATCTCTGAGGATTCGGAGATGAGCAGCTGAGCCTACAGAGAGGGTACATGGTGAGGGGCTCAGCCCAGTCAGCCCACTCAGGCCTAAACTGCTTGTGCAATGAAAGAGATAGGAAGGCTGGAGAGAGGTGGGGAAACCTATCCTAGGTGTACTTCACACACAGCATGTACAGATGGGGAAAGAACTGCTTGAGGGGCCTCAATGCCCACTTCTGAGATGAAAGCCTGTCTCCAGACTACAGCCTAGGGAACCCCAGCATCAGGACCCCTTGATCCCTACCCTGCCCCTTGAGATAAGTCCACACAGCCCGTACCCCACCAAACCCTCACATACATTCAGCCCCCAAAATGATGAGATTGATGACTCCTGAAAGCAACTAATAGGAAGCAAGTTGGTGGCCACAGAGAGCCAATCCCTCAGGGAACTCCTCAAATCTCTCCATTCAGGAAGATGTCATTGGGGTGAAGGTGGCACATGTTGCTCCAGGCCTCCCAGGACCCCTCCCTTGACCAGAAGCTAGGAGCTGACCCAACAATGTTACCTCTTTGAGGGTCGAGGTGGTCTTCGGGAAAGGCCTGCCCCCCGTGAGTGAGTGGTACCTTCTTTCCAGCACAGTCAGTTTCTCCTTTTCCTGTGAGCCCCAAGTGGCAGAGTCAGAGGAAAGAGGGAGCAAGGGTGATAGAGGGGGTACTCTGTGACCGGGGCTCCATGCTGGCAAAGGTCCACCCCAGCCCTCTGTGCTCCCTGCACTCACCCTACTCCCAAGCCCCATCCAACCCAAGGAGCTACCTTCTGCAGCAGCTGCAGGGATGCATTCTTGTCCCGGGCCAGGCGCTCCGACTCCTGCACAGCCTGGGCCCGGATCTGCCCAGCTTGACTGTCCAGGATGGCCAGGCGCTCCTAAGGAGATGGGGTGATTAGTCAGGCCCTGGGAAGATGGGGCTGAGCCCAAGGTGAGGAATGGCTGACTCTCTCCTGCCCAGAGACCCCAGGCTCCGATGAAGGGAATCAACCACCTCTTCACCTTGGCCTTGACTCAACCCAGGAAGACCTGGCTGCCATGGCCAGCTCCATCTCTGCTCCTCCCTCCCTCAACCAGTGACACTGTGCCACCAGGCATTACCACCAGAACCCAGATCCCCAAATCTCCCTTCCCTCACACCATAGCCAATGGGTCCTGAAGCCTAGAGACACTGAATAGCTCCCTGCCTCATGCACCCACAGCCACCACCCAGCTGGGTCCTCTTACCAACCTCCTGCTTCCACTCTCAAATTTCTGATCTATTCTACATTGTCACAAAATGTCTTCCTAAAATGGTCTCTGGCTTTATCTGAGTTTTCTAATCTTTCTAAAAATAATATATATTACTTGAATTCTTTTTTTTTTTTTAAATCCACAACTAAGGTCATACTACCTCTTTCCTCAAAATCTTACAGTGGTTTCTCATTACCCATAGGCTACAGCACAAACTCCTTACCTGGCAACCAGTCCCACCCTTTACAGTTCCCTGCCTGCTTGGCCCTCTGTACCCCTAGCTCGGCATGCTGTATACCTAGCTCTGCGCCTCTGGACTCAGGCCTTCCTCAGTCCAGGAGGGCTGTCTGGGGTTTGTCCACTCATCCTGAGTCTCCTCATCCTCCCAGAACAAATGCTACCCCACCACAAGCCTTCCTTGATCACCAATTTCTTTGCTCCCTTCTCTGTGCTCATATGATTCCACCTCACTGCCCTTCTTATCCTATTGCTATTTGTGAATACATCTGTCTCCACCACCAGCCCCGGCTAACTATAAGATCCAAGGGCAGGACCAGTGTCTTTTCCATCTCTATAACCCCAACAGGGCTTAGCACAGTGCCTCACTCAACAATCATGTGCTGAAAGGAAATGAAAAGACACTAGTGAGGGGGAAGCATGAGGGCTAGGGACAATGGGCTGGGTTATTCCCAGGAGGGTTTTCTGGAAGAGAAGTTCTTAAAGCATCTTCAGAGCAACACATGGGAGAGGAAGGCATGACTCTCTAACCTGGAGTCAGCCCAAGTCAGTGCTGCAGCAGGCCAGGCAGTCCCTCAGCAGGAGTGCCATTTACCGAAAATCTAGTAGGAGCCAGGAACTCTGCTAAATGTTTTGCATTTGTTACCTCATTTTAATCTTATGAGGCAAGTGTTCTTATGCCCATTTCATAAGTGAAAACAGACATATTTAGGAGCAAACATCGTTTAGTTAGTAAGTGGTATAGCTAGAACCAGATCTGTTGGATTCCAAGGCCAGTACTTTCAACCGCTCTGAACCAGAGTAGACAGAGAAGCACAGAGCTCCAGGGCAGACACAGCCTGGGGTGAGACACTGGGAGCCCAGGATGAAGGTTAGGCAAGGCTCACCAGGAGGAGCATGGGGAAGAATGTGACCCCCAGGGCCTCAATGGTTGAGGGCACCCAGAGGCCATGGTGGGCGTGGAGAGAAATGAAGTAGAGCCCACTACCACTGACCCCTCCCAGACTTCCTGAGCTCACATCCACTAGGGCTTCAAAGGCACAAGATCAGTTGATCTAAGGCTCTTTGCTGCACTTCCTCTAGGAGGAAAGAAAAAGAGGCTGAAGAAGTGCCAGCCCTTAGACCCTGTGGGCCACAGTACAAGAAACATGGATTGTGGACCAAGCTGGCCTGGGTTCCAACTCTAACTCTGAAATCCATAGATGGGAGGCTTTGGACAAACTTGGCTTCTGCAGGTCCTAGTTTCCTTGTCTATAAAAAGAGAATAAGAGCACCTGTGAGATGACCTAAGGACAGCAAGGAGGCCTCCTGGTAGGGTCCCTGGCACACACCCATGGGCTTGGGAAATGCCAGTTTTCTTCTTTCCTTGCATCAGCCTTACATTGGAAAGTGGATGCAGCTCTGGGAAGAAAGCATGGACTCTCTGGACTTGGGAGGTCCAGCAGCTCCACTTTTGCCACCAAACCAGCAAGTCCCCCAACTTACCACTTTTGGACACTGTTCCCCAGATCTGCATCCTTACCTTCCACACTCATTTCAGCCAGGCAAACTGCAATGCTTGTATATGGATGCACAAGCTTGAGGCTCAGCCAAGAGCATGTGAACCACCTGGGCTATCTTCTCCATTCCCTCCCCTGCCTCAGCCTAACACACACCTGCCCATCATCCTGTCACCATTTGTGCCTGGTCTGGCTGAGATCAAAAGCAGATTATCAGAGCACTAGTGCAGCAGAACCCACCAGAACACAATACTCAATCCCCTTGATTTATAGCTCAGCCATGTGGAGCCTGAACCAGAAATGGAATCTAGAAGATGCCTATCCTAGGGCCCCAGCTAGCTCTAATATTCAGATCATAGATCTCTATATGTGTCCCAGCCTTACAAGGGCAAGGGCAGGACTGGGGATAGTGGTAGAGTATGTGCTTAGCATGCATGAAGGAGGGGCCCTGGGTTCAATGCCCAAAACTAAAATAAATAAATAATGACAGGAGCAAGCCTCTTCCTCTTCCACTTCATCTTTCTTTTCTTCTTCTTCTTCTTCTTCTTTCTCTTTTTGTGGGGGGGAGGTACTAGGGATTGAGCCCAGGGGCACTCCGCCACTGAGCTACATTCCAGCCCTTTCTATTTTTTTTTTATTTTGAGACAGGGTCTCACCAAGTTTCAAAGGCAGGTCTTGGATTTTTGATCCTCCTGCCTCGGCCTGGCCTCTAAGTGGCTGGGATTACAGGCTTGGGCCACCATCTTTTACTTCTCTGACCAATCAGTGCCCAACTCTCAAGGTGAGCCCACTCCACTTTCTACTGGAAGTCAGAGCTTAATTTTAGCCATCCTTTGTTGAGCACTTTCTACCATCATGTCCTGTTCTGCCTCTACATTCTAATTCTCATAGAATCTTGTTAAACTTCTAATACTACAGACAGGGAAATGAGGCCTCAAAAGTGAAGTTAAGTCTCATTACATCACCAACTTCGATTTTAACGCAGGTTACTGGCCTCCAGCCCCCTTCCCCACGGGCCGCCCTTAGCAGGAGTGGACAGGACACACCTTCCTCTGGGCGACACTTCGCAGCAGCTCGGCCTTGCTCCGCAGCAGCCCCTGGCCCGCCAACTCGCGCTCCTCCTCCACGCGGCTCTCGCGCTCCAGCTGCTGGAACTCCAAGTCTTCAAAGAGCTTTGTCTCCGTCTCCAGGGCCTCTGCCTCCTTCAACGACAGCGACATCGGGAATTGGGTGGTGCTCACAACGCCACTCTGGGCCAGGAAGGCCAGGCCACAGAGGTGTGGGTTTGGGGGGCTGCACCCGGGAAAACTGGGGAAGGCACCTGCCCCCACCCAACTCCCTCTGCTCTTGTTCGGCTGTGCGCCTTTAGCGGGCATCACAGCCTGGAGCTCTGATCCCCCCAACCTTGCCGGTCCCCTCCAAGCCACAGCACAGACCCTGGTGTCCGGCAGGTACTGCAGGGGCCAGACGGTCCCGTCCCACTGCTCTCCTCTCTTCTGTCTGGGCGGTGGCCCGCGGGGGCCGGGGGAGGGGGCTGGTGGAACTGACCCTTCTCAGCTGCTCCTGTAACTGTTCCCGCACTGACTCGGGGCAGTTATCGAGCTGCGTCTGGAGCTCGGCGTAGAGCGCCTGGCGGGCCTCCAGGTGCCTCCGTCCCGCGGCCAGCTCCGCCCTCTCCTGGTCGGCGGGAGGGGAGGGAGGCGGGGCACAGGGGAGAGAGAACACACACTCCTCAACTCCGGCCCGGCGGGGGAGGGGCGCGGGCGCAGCGCGAGACCGCGGGCGGGGCAAGAAATCAAAGAGAAGGAAGAAGAGGGCAGAAAGGGAAAGTGAACAGGGTGGAGGTAGAGGGAGACAGGCCAGAAGCAAAGGTATAAAACAGGGCTCAGTGGCGCAGGGGACAGTGTAAGACAGGCACAGGTGTAGGGCAGGGTGGAAATTTTGGTCTCTTGGAGTTCCTTGAACTAGGAATGTCTGGGTAGGTATTAACGTAAGGCCTTCTGTTGCCTCTCCAAACCAGTCAAGGTCAAAGTTGATTCTACCTGGTAAAGCAGAGCCTCAAGCTTCACGCGCTGCCCAGAGACCAAAATTTAACCCAGGGAGAAAGAGGAGTGATGAGTTAAATCCAGGGGCTGGGGAGGATGTTAGAGCTACAGCAATGCAGCAAGGGGACCCCAGCCCAACACCCTGGCTGCCCTGCAGAGCTGGGTGGGGTGCCAGCTCTGCAGGCTGAATTTCAGCAGGGATGAGGGTTACAATTAGTTCGGCCGTTGCCATGGTAATAGGAGCCCCAGGAGTGAGTACAGAGAGGAGGTGGATGGCTCTGTCTGGGCGAGATGACACTCTGAGGGCGGCAAGGGGGACGAGGGGAGGAGTTGGTGAGTCACCCCTCTAAAGGACAGGCAAAGGAGAAACTGTGATTACTGATACCAAAGCCAAAGTGGGGCCATGGGCTGAGGGCTGTAAAGGGAAAACAAATGAACCTTTTCCACCACCACCATCACTACCACCATCACCAACAGCACCTTCACTGCCACAACCTCAAACAGCTGGGCCCAGAGAGAAGGCAAAGCCCAGGCCTCCAAGCAATCTCAAGTCAATGAGAAGTGAGGACAGGCAGGTTCCTCATGAAATGTTGAGCTTCATCCCTGAGAGTAAGCCCCTACACTGCACTCCACCACTCACCCCGCCTCTTCCCTCCACACCACCCACCCGCCTACCCATCTCCAAAAGAAGGCCCTGATCAGAAGCTCCTGGGGTCCAGGCACTTCCACATTCTTGGACCCTGCCTTTAAAATAAAGGCAGGGTCTAGATGGCCTCTAGGGGAGTGGGGGAAAGATGGGAGAGGCTACCCCTTCTTCTGATTGGGGTATGTGGATTTGGGAAAACTAGGTGGGGAGCCACTGAGTTGACACAGAGGTCCTGTCCAATCCCTCCAAGGCCATGCCCACAACTGGACCTCCTTACCCCTCATCTCCAAAGGGCAGGTGGTTGAAGGAGTACAGCCTGCCTCCCCCTGCTCTGCAGGAAGCTGCTAACTGTCCAGTGGGAGGGGCTGTTCAGGCTGAGCAGTTCTTGAGCCAACCATCCCCCCCCACCACCACCACCTTTAATAGCCCTTCTGCCAATACCCCATAGAGAAAAGTTTAGCTGCTGTGCCCTCCTGCGACTTCCTTTCTGATCAAAATCATAAGATCCCACATCAAGAAAAGAAGGAGACAATATTAGAAGGGAGAGGTCAAGGCACGAGGCACCTGTGGAGTTAGTGCACAAGCAGGCGTGGCTCAGCCCTGCCTGGGTGGCCTGGCAGTTAGGGGCATGCGGAGAGCCCAGGACAGTGATTAGACAGGGCGTTAGTGCAGGCCTGGTTGACAAGCATGGAGTTAATTTGGCACAGAATTTGGGAGTGTGGTTTTGGGGGCCAGAGCCAAAGCTCAAAAAAAAAAAAAAAAAAAAGAATTTTTAAGACTTTCAAAATTGAGGGCAAGAGGAAGATACTCTCAAAAAATCCAAAGGGAAAATTTAATTCTTGGAAAAATACTGTCAAATCCAGAAATAGATGACCCCTCTCCACTTCAGAGCTTTTGGCACGTTGTTGGGCATCTTGGACATGCTGGAATGGCCCCTGTGGGATGGAGCGGCCCCTGCAGGCTGGCACGAAATCTGAAAGGGGCAGGGGCAGGAGCTGGGACCATCTGAGATGGGAGGGTGCGGATTCTGAAGACTTGGGAAGCAGAGGCCTGTGGACCATCTCCCAAAGACCACAACCTAAGCATCTGAGGCATGCTGGAGGAAAGTGTCCTCCAGATGGCGGGACCCAAACTTGAATCACCTCCCAGCACAAGTCCCTCCAGCTGTACTCACTGCCCAAGAAGGGGCCCTGACACTTCCTAAAAGGGCCACGAAGGGCCCAGAATGGCAGGAACCCAGGCACCCAGAGGTAGCACAGAGACCCAGACAGAGAAGACCACAAACACCAGCCCAGCCCCAGGCAGCATCCTTCAAGCTGGTACCTTCCAGAGAGGACTAGGCCCCTGGCCCTCGAGGACCACAGAAACCACCTGGTATGCAGGGTGGATCATAAGGTGAGGGGTTCAGGGCCCCAGGGAAGGCATTTCTCCTTCTCTCCTGGGTCACTGCTTCCTAGCACCAAGCTGGACCAGGTGTGGATTACCTTGTCTCTCTCCTTCTGGATGCCAGTCTCCAAGGCCACCAGCTTCTCCTGTAGTTGGTCCACTGCCTTTTGCTCCTTCTGCAGCAGTGCCCGCTCTGCTTCCCTCTCCCCCTGCAGCAGCGCCCTCTCCATTTCGGCCTGGAGGTAGATACCAAGATCCCTATTAAAACAGTGAACTCGGGCCCCTATTAGGGGCCTGTACCCTACCAGCCAGCTCACCTCTCTGGCCGCTTCTTGTAGCTGCTGCTCTAGCTCCTTCACGTGGACCTTGAGCTGCTCCACACGCCCCAACACCTGAGCCCGCTCCTCTTCTAGGGCTAGCAGCTCTCCTTGGAGCTTGGTGCTAGGTGCATCTTCATGCTGGAGGGGAGGGCAGCAATCAGCCAAGGATGCCCAGTGCCTTCCAAGATAACAGATTAAGAGACCAAACCACATATTCTTCAGGGCACTTAGAAAGAGTGGTTGAACTGAGACAGGAGGCTACCCGCCTGCCTGCCAGGGAAGCCATAAAAGCTCAGCCTCAGGGAATAAAGATTTACCAGAGTGCCAGGCCTGGGTGGGGCCCCAAGGAAAGGCAGGTGAAAAGCCTATTAATAACTCGGGAAAGTCAACACCACCTCTATTCTTTTCCTCGCCTCCTCATTTCTACACCTCTGATCTCTGGTCTCTTCCCAAACAATGCTTTCATTACTTCCCTCCCACTGGGTCCTGGTATTCACCACACCAGCCTCCCTCTAGTACCCTGGCCCTGCCCCTCATCCAGTCCAGTCCCTCAGCCCACCCCACCTCCTGCTGGGTGCTCTCTGTGCTACTGCACTCCTCCTTGAGATTTTCTTCATCTGAGCGCTCCACGCTCTCCCACAGGCGTTGGGCAGCACTTCCAGGCTCCTCGCTACTCCGTCCAGAGGCCACAGTGGCCCCGGCAAAGCCTCGTGAGGGCCTCCGACCTGCCAGTGCCAAAGCTGCAGTGGCCTCCCCAATGCTGGGCAGCTCCCCGGCCTCTGGTCCCCCATCAGCCCGGCTGTACTCAGCACACAGGTTCAGGATGGTCTCCAAGCGCTGGCGCTCCTGGGAAGGGTAGACAGAACAGGGCATGAGGGAGAGGCCGAGCCCTGCGGGGAGGGAGAGCTGGAACACTAAATGCATGGGGCCCAGCGTCAAGTCAGGAGAGCACCAGCCCCAAGAACTGTGGGAGACCAAGGCAAGGTGAGTGCCCCAGAAGTGGACATAAGGAACCAGCCTGTGTGCCACCTGTCCATGTGGCCGGCCCCTCCTATCTTCCTGTTTCCTCTCCCTTCTCATTCTGTCCCAGGATGGGGCTTCCACGTGGTCACAAGGACACACCTGAACACACACAGAGACATATGGGTAGTCAGACTGAAGACCACAATGAGATACATGTCAACTCAGGTGCTCACGCTGACACAGGTACACACAGATCTTACGCACAAGGGCACAATGACACACGGATATGCACACAGGCAGGTGCAGATGCAACGTGTGCACTAGCCCTACTTTAACAGGTAGATACACACACAGACACCAGCCCTGACATGCACAAATACATACTCACACAGATAAACACAGTCCACAAACAGCTGGGTGGGCACCAGCAGACAGACAGGCTGGGAAGCAGACCCAGGGGCCCACAGGACCTGACACTCAGCCCAGACACACATGAAAAAGAGGTATAGCTGAGACCCAGTACTCCCTGTCCCCATCCCAGCTCCAAGCCACCCTCAGATTCCTTACCAGCAGGGAGGGCTGCTGCTAGCTGTTGAATGTGCAGACCCAGATACAAGTGCTCTGTGGCCCTGACACTTACAGCCTTCCCTACACACATCAAGAAGCAGTCACCTCTCAGAAGATGGAGATGTGAGGACAAATAGTGCAACCATGCTCCTGATCAGCGTCCCAGTCTCCATTCACAATACTCCAGCTCTGACTCCTGGTCCTGAGCCTCCCATGGCCCTCTGGGGTCTGTTAACCTCTTCAAAGGTTTCTGACTACATACAGTTCAGCCATGACTCCTCACCCCTCAACACTTACCCGGTTTTCCTCCTGCTGCTTGCCCGGTTCCATGGCAAAAAATGCAGGAACAGAATCCCAGCACCCAGAAGGCTGGGCCCATGCCCTGCCCCCGCCCTAGGACCCAGATAAGCAGCCTGGTTGGGGTGGGAGGGGCAGGGCGGGCAGCCTCCAAGACTTAAAGTGGCAGGTGGGGCAGGTCAGGGCTGGTGGTAAGGTGTGCCTGTGTGACGGGATGGGGGTGGGGAGGCTCAGTGGAAGAGTTGAGGCACTCTGCCTGTGTCTGGGGCCAAGCTCACTGCCCCTCGAAGGAAGAGATCCCAGGGTGGCCAAGCACTGTGGTGTAGGCCAAGGCCAAACAGTGACTGAAGATGTAGCAATGGGAAAGACCGGGAGCCCACTTCCCACCCAGCAGAAGCACACTGTCGCATACCCTCACCCCAAACTGTCCAGCTTCTTCCCGAAGGGTCTCCAGTTCCAGTTCCTCTCCTTAAACCAATCCCACAGTTCCTGGGCCCTCAGGAACCCCATGCTTCCACTCTCAAGGGAAAGTGAGCAGAATCCATTTTCCTGTATGTGGGCTCAAGTATGTATACATTGGCCAGAGCCTCTGGAGCTCCTTGCACTATCTGGAGAATCCCCGGCCCCAACCCAGCTCAGATGCCAACTCCAGCACAGCTGCCCAGAGCCACACCCAGCCCTGCATGCACCCACATGCACACATGCAGATGCATAGGTCACAATCACACATGCCAGCCAGGGGCTGCCCACCCTGTTCTTTCCCTATTCCCTGCTACCATACTCCCAGTTATCCTGCTGGGGCTGAGATGAGCAGCTGCCTTCCATTTGTAGAGGTCAAAAAGAAGCAAGAAAGAAGGACCAGGAGCTATTCTAAAGAACAAGCCTCAATGCCGGAAGAGTTGGGGAACTCTGCCTGTGTCTGGGGCCAAGCTCACTGCCCCTCAAAGGAAGAGATCCCAGGGTGGCCAAGCACTGTGGTGTATGCCTATAATCGCAGAAGCTCAGAGGATGAGGCAAGAGATCACAAGTTCAAAGTCAGCCTCAGCAATTTAGGGACTTAATGAGATCCTGTCTCAAAATACAACAAATAAAGGGCTGGGGATGTGGCTCAGTGGTTAAGCACCTCTGGGTTCAATCCCCAGTACCAAAAAAAGAACAAGCCTCAAGCTGGACATTGTGGTGCACACCTGTAATCTCAGCTACTGGGGAGGCTGAGATGGGGGATCACAAGTTCAAGGTCAGCCTGGTTAACTTAACAAGACCCTCTCTCAAAACAAAATAAATAAATAAATAAAAAGGGATGGGGCAGGCAGTAGTGGAGTGTCCAAGAGTTCAATCCCCAGTACCAAAACGGGGGAAAAAAGCCCAGACAGAGATGGAAAGACAGCAGATTTGGGTTCCAATTCCAACTTTGCCAAAACTTGATGTATTACTTCAGAAAATCCAATTCCCTCTCTGGGCCTCAGCCTTTTCATCCCCACAACCTGCTTCTCAAACTGAGAGATACAAGGCCTCACCATAACTAAAACTAAAAAATAAATATTAAAAAAAAAAGTGGTATGCTTTCCTAGAGATTCATTGTACTCGAGTAAATAATTAAAACTTAGTTTATACATTAAAACAAATGCTCTGTTGTAGAATATATGCAAAATTAGCAAGAATTTAAAATAAAGCCTTAGAGGTTTCAAAGTTACTCTTCAGGGCACCAGAACTATGAGATACTAGTCATTAAGGTGTATCCTGAAGTTGGGGATGCATAAGCCCAGGCCCTATCCAAGGGCCCCCTTGCTCTGCCAGCTGGCCTGCCCACGCCCTGGCAGAGACCCTGCCTTGGATGGTGGCAGTCTCCCTGGCATCTGCTCACCAGCCTCTCCATCTCCTGCTCCCGGAGCCGCTCTTGGCGCTGCCGCCGGTGGTACTCCAGGAGGTCATCTTCATTGTCACTGATCTCTGTGATGCTATTTTTCCTTTCCCTAATGACAGGTACCCGCAAGTCCCCACTGGAGAGCTTCCTCTGGGCATGAGGGCTCTGGCGTGGTGAAGCCCCAGTAAGAGAACCCAGACTATAGGCTGGGCTCAGCCTGCCACTGAAGCTGCCCTTGCGAGGTGCCAAGGACTCCCCCAGGGTAGGTGAGGGACTCCGTGTTCTGCGGCCTCGTGTCCCCAAAGTCAGGGAGAAGTCCTCCGGTGAAGCTCCATGGGCTGCCCACCGCCGGGGCCGTGGACTGTCTGCTACCTCCCTGGTGAGCTTGGGATCTGGGGTGGTCCGAGCAGGCAGTGGGGAGAGAGCTCGTCGGGACAGAGACGGGCTCAAGGGAGGGAGTTCTCGCATACTGTCCAGGCCCCGCCGACCCAGGCGGGGACTCTCAGGAGGCTGCAGGGTGCGGGTGGCTGACCCATCTGAAAATGTTCGGCCCACCAGTTGGCGAGAGGGACTCGTTGTCAATACCCTCTCCGTGCCGGGAGGGTCACGGAAAGGGCTTGGAGGGCGGTCCTGGAGTGTGCTGATCTTGTTGCGAGGAGCAGGAACTGGAGACTGGAACTTGGGGCTGCCAGGAATGCTGGTGGGTTGGCTGCGGGCACCGGCAGCTGGGTATTCACTCAGGCTGATAGCTACCACAGGCAGCTGCCCTCCCAGTCGGGGGCTCTCAGTGGCTTTGCGGGCTTCTGCCAAGACCGTGGCTGAAGGGCTATCAGTCAATAGCCCCCGGAGGCCAGGGCTGGGAGGCCTCTCATGACCTCCTTTTCTACCCAGCCGGGGACTCTCAGAGGAGCGGGCACCACTTGGGCGGGACTGTGGGGGCTGCAGGGCCAAATGGTAGCTGGATGAGCGAGCAGGCACCAGCGGGGGTACAGAAGACAGTCCTGGCTCCTGCCCACTGGGTGAATGGCTGGCACAGCTCCCACTGCTAGCTGGTGAAGAGAGTGGAGAGAAGGCTGGAGAGGTGTTCTCATAGCTGGAGCCCACAGACATGGCCCCAGGACTGGTTGGAGGGGACAGCAGGTAGCGGCCACCATTAGCCATTGGCGACAATGGGGAGGTTGCAGCAGGCTTCTTGCCAGCAGCTCCAGGTTCCTCTAGCACCAGTGAGTCCATGATTTCCTGTAGGTCCTTCTCAATGGAGCTCACTAAAGAACTGTGGCTGGCACAAGCTGGGGGTCCCCGGGTCGCAGGCTGTGGGGTGTGGTTCCCATTCACCAGACTTTCTGATTCAGCTGAGGGAAAATGCAAAGAGGTCTCAGGCTCTGGCCTTGGGCTTTGGAAGCTACATATGCACAAGAGCAAGGACACCACCCCACCTCTTCCAAGCACAGATCTGAAGAAGCCAGGATATCCGGGTTCTTCACCAGGTGCTGGCACCAGCCAGCTCTGCCACTGCTGTGCTCTGTATCCTTAGCCAAGTTACTTGCCCTCAGTGTCTCCTTTTGTAAAGGAAGAAGATGGGCAGGACCCTCCTGGCTCTAACATTTTATGACATAGGACAAAGTTAACAAAATGCCAGGATACATCTAAGCCTAGTTTTTGCCAACTTGCCCCTGGACTAGACTCCTTCCTGTCTTGGTTTTCTCATCGTCCTTACATCCCTCTTCAGGAAGGGTAAGGGGGCATTCTGCATAGGAGATGGGACCTACTGTGGAGTGGGCCAGAAGTTCCAGGGCCTCCTACTCTAATAGGACATCATTTCCTCCCAACACAGCAGCCAGAGACCCAGAGAAAAAAACAAAGCCTCAGGGCTGGGCAAGGGTTGTGCGCTGGAGCCCTCTGTCCAATCAGAGGCAGGGGAGGGATTCAGTGCTAATGGCTGGTTCCTGGAAGCCCCGCTGGCCAGCCACGAGGTGCAGCTCAATGCCTCCAATTATCCCATTAAGCCACGCCAGCAAGAGCCTGCCTTTGCCTGGCCCCTTGTCAACCAACCAGGGGACTGCAGTCCCTGGAACCATTGCCTCAAACAGCTCTGAGAAGTGGCATAACAAGGCTGGGGTGGAGGCAGGGTAAAATTAACCAGGGAGTGGACTAGGAATCTAGGCTTCTGTGCTCCCAGGGGACTAGAAGAGACTGGGGTTGAGAAAGAGGAGAAGGGAACTCCTATGCAAGACAGAGCATGGGTCCAAAATTCTGGGACTGTGTGCAACACAGTCAGATGGGGTTGTCATGGACAGTGTTGATCCCAATGACCACTCAACTTTCTTCAAGTTCCCGGACTATACATTTAGGTCGCTGATAACTACTCCACCAGATGTCCCAGACACATGTGTCCATCTGCCCCATAGCTACATTGGCACCTATAGCCCTGCAGCCATTGAATGCCACTGCAAAGTCTAGAGGGGCAGACTCACTGCCCCCCACCCCTAGGCAGCTGGCTGAGGAGGCCTGTGTTGGTTCCTAGAACAATCACCGATTCTCCTCTGGGGATCAATAATTCACACACAAACTGCAGCTGCTCCTCTGAGTCATCCTCGAGCATGGCAAGGCCTGAGGGTTGGGTAGGGCCCAAGAACATGATCACCAGCAGGTGGGCCCCACCAGGGCTTACTGGGGGTTCAACCTAATGCTCAGGCCATTCTTGAGGGTGAGGTTCCTGGTGGTATCACAAGAAGGCAGGGTCCCAGACACTGAGTGGCCTCTTCTAGGTCAGTAGGATAAAGACAGGCAGACCCCTCTATCCCTCAAGGTACATCAATTCCCAATTTCAGCCAAGCAGCACTGCCTAGGCTCTCTCCCAGTAGCCCCTCTGCCTGGCCTTCTCCAGCAGACTATGGTAGGTGGCAGCGAGACCAGACCCAGTATATTGTCCCACCCTAACACTGTAAGAATGGCTGAAGTGGGCGAGAAGAGGTCAAAGGGGTACCACCAACCCAGCATCTCCCTGCCCCAGACTAGACACCTACCAGAGCCAGGGTTGTAGGGGGGCCCAGGAGCCCGGCCCCCTGCTGGAATCATGCTCTTCATCCACTTGGCTTCAGCAGGGTGGTTAAAGCGGAGGAAGGTGGACTGACCCAGGCACAACATGCAGCCTGCAGAGAAAGCAAATGCTTGCAAGGGACAAGCAGGGACAACCCGCAGCACTAGTAGGTTCACCCCCAGCTCCAAAAAGCAGTTCCCACCTATACTTACAGTGTCCCCACAATGCACACCTGACCCTGCCTGTCTCTGAGCTGGGCCCGTGTGGGGCTCCACAGCACAGAGCAGAGTAGAAAGAACACTGGCAGGCAAGTCCCCAAACTACATCCTCCTAATTCCTCTTCTCACTACCGCCTGTGAGATCTTTCAGTGAAGTTACTTCACCTCCAACTCTAGTTCTCTCCTCAGAAAAATGGGACCATACCACTGAGCTTACTGGGCTAAAAAGACCATGTGTGAAAAATGCCATCAGTGGAGAAAGTTCTTCAGAGAACATGAACACCACAACCTCCTACCCCCAACCTAGATTCATGATACATCCAATCATCTTCTGAATAGAAGGGTTAGTCTGTTTTTTACTGTTTTTCCAGTACTAGGGATTGAACCCAGGGTGCCTTACCACTAAGCTACATCCCCACATCTCCAGCAGTTTGGTTTTCTTTTCTTTTCTTTTTTTTTCTTTTTTGCAGTGCTGGGTATTGAACCCAGGCTTTCATGCATGCTAGGCAAGAACTCGATCCCTGAGCCACACCCCCAGCCCTCCAGCCCTTTTATTTTTAATTTCAAGAAAGAGTCTCACTAAATTGCCCAGGCTGGCCTTGATCCTTCTGCCTCAGCCTCCCAAATCACTGGGATTACAGGTATGCGTCACCATGCCCAGCTAGAAGGGTTAGTTTAAAAGGCAGCAACTACCAGAGTCACAAATAAAACTCTGATATAGTAGACAAGGGAAAAGCCATGGTTTGGTCAGATTCCTTCTTGCTGTGTGGCCTCAGGAGAACTGGCACCCTCTCTGAGAATCTAAGGAGTAACCTCCACCCTGTTTCTTTTTTCTTTCTTTTCAGCACTGGGATTAAACCCAGGGATGCTTTACACTGAGTCACATCCTCAGCCCCTTTTTTATATTTTATTTTGAGACAGGGTCTCACTAAGTTGCTTAGGGCCTTACTAAATTGCTGAGGATAGTCTTGAACTTGTGATCCTCCTTCCTCAGCCTCCTGAGTCACTGGGATTACAGAGGTGCCCCACTGTGCCTGGCCACCCTGTTTCTTGCTTTTTTTTTTTTTTTTTTAACCCTGTTTCTTTTTGACATGGCATCCTCTGGCTATTCCTCTAGTCTCACCTGGAATCCAGTCAGACCCAGACCACTGGGCTCAGTAAAGCCCATTCCCAGGCGGTAGACACAAGCCTAGTCCTGCCCAGGAAGTGTGAGTGCATAGAAGGGGGAGGTTATTATGTGGGAGCCAGAAAATGTAGCCAGGGGCTCAGGAGTGTGCACAGCGGCAGGTGTCCCATCAGGCGCCTAAGCCTGGCTGGCAGAATTCCACCTCCCTGCCATACCAGGTGCTAAAGGACTCCTACAGAAGATGCTATGCTAGGAGAGGCCAGAGCCCCTGCTCTCTACCACCCACCATTCCATTTGTCCACACCCCTGGTCTCAGCCTCCTGTCTACCCAATCCAATGCCACTTGGCACCCCAAACTTCATGCCAGTCTGAGCTAAGACTGGCAGGGAAGTCTACATTCCTGGACGCTGAGACAGTGCAGCTCAGGGAGGCAGCAAGGGCAAAGGGCATCCCAGGCCACGTGGGTACTTTGGCAGGCCCCCTACTGAGAAGCTCAGGAGTCCATTCTTAAGACCCCTGGCATTGCCATGGGGCAGAGGACTAGCAGGATAAGAAGCCCATATCAGACAAAGCCGCTCACTCCCTTGGCACACCCAAAGGCCCGCCCAGGGTGATGGGTGGTTAGGAAAGGGGATTGCCTTCTCTGCCAAGTCACCAATCAGAGAAGCTGATCCAGAGTAATCATAACTGAAATAAATGCCAGTCAACCACACCGTCCACCTAATTACAACCACAGCTGTTTCAGGAACGGCCCTGCCTGGCCCCTCTCCTTCCTTTCAGCCATTTAACAAACTAATTAATGATGAGTTTGCAGGGTCTAGACAGACCCACTCAACTCGAGGTTGATGGAGGGAGAGGGATAGAGGTTAGGAAGAGCCTGAACACACAGTCCAAACTGGGAAGGAGGGGGTGTCTGGGTGGATCCCATCCCAGCAGTGCCAGGCCCACCCAAGAAGGCTGTGGGTATCTATGGACCCTCTTACCCTAGCCCCTATAGGACTGGAGGCACCTGCCCCTCCCCCTACCCCACGTGGGGGTGTGGCCTCGCTCCCTCTGGGCTATAAATAGTGATGCCAGGCAGCAGAGCTAGAGCTGTATTAATAGAGCGGGCAGGAGGGCAGCAGGACTGAGAGCAGCCCAGCTCCTGCCCAAATTAACTTTCTATTTGCACTCAGGGGCCTCAGGCATAGCCCCAACTCTGGCACTATCGCCCCCAGGGGCCTGGCCAGTGGGTATCTGGGAAGAAGTGGCCTCTCTGTCCACTCCTGCTCCACACCCACAAGGCTAGCCCTGTCTAGAAGCCCAGGAACCCAACCAAAGTCATGGTCCCTGACCCCCATGCACAGAGCACCTAAGGTCCAGCTGCTTCAGGTGGGTAGAGAATCTGCACATCTGGAGGGAAAACACTGGGCAAAGGAGAGGGTGGATCCTGCCTCGGAGAGATGCACAGGGGAAACACCACACACCGACACACTCATAGGAACACACACAGAATCATAGGCAGCCATGCTCACTCGCACACACAGAGCGACACTCACTGCCCTGCTGGTCACACATAGAATGGACTGGCCAAAGGGAGGGTGGACGAAGGGAGAATAGGAACAAGAGCCTTGGTTTTTCCCATCAGAGACCCCTCTCGGCCATGACAAGGCTCCCCTCATCCTAACCGTGATCCCTCGACCCCTTGGGAGGCGGATCCCAGGAGGAGACTGCCCAGCGCTAGGAGAGATGAGGTCTGCACAGCTGAGAAGTGGCCCCAAGCCCAGAACCCCACTCAGAAATGTTCAGGGACTCACAACCTTGGAGTCTCACAGCCTCAAGCTCCCAGAGGTCGAGCACCCCATCCCCCTCCTCCTTGCACCCACCCTCCCAGGACGCCCCAGCCGCCAGGGGCTGTGGCTGACCGGGCTGAGCACTCACCGCTGGACCCGGACCTGCGGACGGTTGGCCCCGGCCAGCGCGGGCCCTGCAGGTCCCCGGCCCGCCCGGGGCCTTTGAGCGGGGCGGGCCGACCTCCCGCGCCGCCGGCTCCAGGCTCCGAGCGAGCAGCCAGGCAGCGAGCAGCCGCCAATGCCCAGGGAGGGGCGGGCCGGCCACCAGCGGCGGGGGAAGGGAGCCAGGGAGGGAGGGACAAAGGCGAGGAGGAGGGGAAGAGGAAGTGATGGAGGAGACGAGTGTGGAGCTGGATGGAGAGGCGGGGCGGGGCGGGAGGATGCAGACCGGCAGCAAGCTGGGGATCCCGCGCCAGGGACAGGAGGAAAAGTGGGGCGGAGAGGGAGGAGAGGTTCGAGGGAGGTAACTCCTGAAGGAAAAGTGAGAGGTAAATATAGAGGCCAGAGGTTGAAGAGCCAGGAAGCTGGAGTGAGGCCAAGTGCAGGTTTTGCCCAGGACTCTCTGGGGTAAGTCTGTGGCGGAGGTCTGGGGTTCAGGCCAGTGTCACCTTGGGCCAGTCACACCCTTTGGCCTGGGATGACTTATCTAGAGAATGAGGAGGATGTCCTTAGTGACCATAGAGGACATTCCGTGGTTCTACTGAGGAAGAGTAGAAGAGTGGGGGCCCAGTGGGTTCCAGGTAGGTCACTAGGTTCAGCTCTGGACCTCAGTCTCTACTGTGACAAGGTCACCCAAGCTGGGGACTCAGGTCAAGCAGTGCTCTGTGCAATACAGGCAGCACAGTCCAGATCCTGTCTCCATCCTAAATATCTACTCTTCCAGCCCCTACTCCCCAGAGCTCACCCCCATTGACCCAGGCTGGACCAAAGCATTGCCCCTTCCAAACCAGCCCACTTCCTGGGGCACCCAAGTGCCCTCTCCCCCAATAAAATACCCTTTCTATCTGGAAAACAGTGCCATCTGTCTCTGGTGCCTCCAGGGACAGGCTGAAGATTCTGAGCCAGGCTGGTACCTACCACCCAACTGGAGCCCCAGAGAGTTGCTCTTGTCCCAAGGAACTGACCCTGGACACTAGAATCTTAGGGGACACACCACATTCACCCTGGGACACAATACATGTTAGGCAGCTCACACATCCCCACACCAACTCTCAAAGACATACCAACACTGTTCAGTCACATTGACACCACATCAACTGGGCACAGGGTATCACAAACACTCCATTCCACACAGACCACTCTTATGTCTCACACACATTTATTCTCATGCACACATTCTCCCAGGCCCCACTCCCTGTCTTAGTTTCACTCTTACTCGGGAACAGCTATCCTTTTGCTCAGACCCTGGAGAGACTCTTAAATAAAGTTAATCTCCAGTGGTGCTTGCCTGTGATCCTACCTACTCGGGAAGCTGAGCAGGAGGATCTCAAGTTTAAGGCCAGTCTGGGCAACATAGTGAGACCCCCATTTCAAAACAAAATAAATAAATAAATGTAGCCAGTCGTGGTGGTGTACACCTGTAACCCCAGCAACTCAGGAGGCTGAGGCAGGAGGATCACAAGTTCAAGGCAGCCTCAGCTTAGAGAGATCCTGTCTCAAAATAAATAAATAAATAAATATATGTATGTGTGTGTGTGTGTATGTATGTATGTATATATATATATATATATATATATATATATATATATATATATCACTGTAGCTCACTGGTAAAGTGCCCCTGGGTTCAATCCTTAGAATATAAAAAAGTGTGTGTATGGGCTGGGGCTGTAGCTCAGGGGCAGAGCACTTGCCTAACATATGTGAGGCACTGGGTTCAATCCTCAGCGCCACATAAAAATAAACAAATAAAATACAAGCATTCTGTCCATCTACAATTACAAAAATTTTTTAAAAATAATAAAGTATGTGTATATACACACATACCAGCCTCCTTAGAGAAATAATGAGGGAAATTTTCCACCCTTGCTGAATAGCCGATCACTACACGCAGTCACTGCCATGTTACACACACACACACACACACACACACATATGAAACTTATTCCCCTTCTGAGGGAAAAAGGAAAAACCATATAGGGTCAAATGCAAACTGAGGGGAGGTTTTAGAAAACAAAACCTCCTCAAGGAAGAGTGATTCATAGATCTGGAAACTGTGATGGCCAGCTGGACAGACCCAGGCAGGCAGAGGATGCCCGCCAGTGAGAACCAGGGCAGGAGACAGACACAAGGAAGTGGGAAAGCTCCGAGGCGTCGCTTGGCCTCTCCTTTCTTTGAACCGTATTAGTCAAGATCTTCATCAATCTCCTATCAGAAAGCTTGGAGTCTTCCCTCCCAATTTACAGAAGGAATAATTGATAACTGGGTGGGAGAAGAAGAGGCCCAATGTCCTGGACTCCAGAGAGCACACTCCTCTGCTGGCCCCACACAAGCCCCCACCCACCAATGTGGGGTTTTGAAAGTAAAGGACGCTTGGAGGCAAAGACTGGCAGTGTGCATCAGGAGCAGAAGGGGACCTCCTGTCTAGACAGCCAGCGAGCCAGCGCCCTGAGCTGTGTGGCTTTCTGGACCCTCCCCTTCCTAGTCCCCTCCCTGATCTTTCATGTGGTCTGGCTCTGTGATCCCAGGGTGGGGCAGCCTAGACCCAGATTGAGATTCTGCCTTATTTCCTTGGTCCTATTCCCAGCTCCACCTCTTGCTCTGTAGAGGAGAGGGCAGCATGGGATGTGCCAAGATGCTCCCATACTGGGAGGAATCAAGGTCCCCCTGGGTCCCTCACTTCATGCTCCCATGTTCATAGCCCTAGGATAAAGGTTGGCATCTGCTCTCTGCCCGCCTCCCCCTTCCCCTGGCCCAAGCATACTCCTGCTGGAAGAGCCTGTCACTGCCATCTCTGCCTGTCATGAAGTGTGTCTCTCCAAGTTGCCCATGGCTGGGCACAGTGCCCAGAATGATGTTTCTAAGGCCTGGCCCAGCCAGAGCAGACTCCTTGTTATTCCCAAGACCCCCTCTGTTTTTTAAAGAGGAGGGTCCACTCTATAAGGCCATATAAGAGAAATAAGACAGGGAAAATCCCCCCTCCCCGCCACCCAGTGCTAAGGATGGAATCCAGGGCTTCACACATGCTGAGCAAAGGCTCCAAAACTGAGCCACAAAACCCAGCCCTAAATAGTCCTCACAAGCATCTGCCCACCCGAAGGCATATGGCCAGTGAGTTCTCATATAAACACTGAAGTACACTCATGGGCATTTTGGTACCATCAGTCCTGGATTCACCCCCACACCCACTTGAACACACTGATCTATAAACACAAGGAAAGACACAAACAAATGCAGAAATACACAAGCCTAGAGTCACAAACATATCCGGAGATACGTAAACACACTCCTGTTACACAGACACACAGATAACACATGCACCCCGAGCCACCCAGTTCCCAAGGAAACGCACTCCCAAGAATGTCCGGAGTGGGGCCAGGCAAGGCTGGGCTTGGTGCCTTGCTCCAGAGATGAGACAAGGAAACCCTTAGCTCCTGGAGCCCAGGGAGGGGGAGGGCTTCGGAGAAGAACACCCATTCCTTTGTGCTTCCGCCTACCCCTCCACAGGCTGCCAAGCTTCTGAGACAGGCGAGCCCAGACAAGAAGGCTACTGGGGGGTGGGGGATAAAGGGAGTTTAGGGTCAAAAGAGAGTGGGAGGGTACATACTTGGCAGGGTGGGCTTCTGGCTGAGGAAGGGGGGTCACTGGGGCCACAGGAAATGCTTAAAAATTCCATCATGGCCTCAGGCCCGCCCTCTTCTAAGGGAACTGAAGATGCTCTGGGAAGATCCAACAGAAGCATAGGGAGCACTGCTCACAACTACCCTGCTCACAGCACCAGGGGCAAAGGTGTTCTTAACAATGGAAGCAATGGGATTGGGGGCTGGGGAGTAAGGGCTGGGCCACCTTTGAACTTTGCCCTGCTTCTCCTTATTTCTCTGCTGTCTCACCTGCACGCACCCAAATCCTGGAGTAGATGCTCCCTCTGAGACTGAACCGGACCATCAGGAACCAGATGGCATCATGACCAAAGCCCCATTTCCTGGGTTTCTCTTTCTCAACCAGAGTCAGAAATCCTGAAGCCCTAGAGAAGGCAAGGACTTGCCCTACTGCTGCTGGGGACCTGTCTCTCTGCAGTCTGTTTCCCTACCCTGTGCTCACCTCAGGGGCAGGAGGAAGGAGTGGGGCATGGTCATTCCTAGGCCAATTTTGAAGAAAATGGCACTTAAAGGCCCCAGGCATGTGAATAGAAGGAGCTTGGGAGACAATGGAATGAGTGGGATTTCCCCTGACAAAGGGCTTCTGACCAGTGAGAGTCCCTCTGTGCAGAGCCAGGCATAGTCCAAAGCTCTGGTCTTCATTATAACCTCACCTCTGGCCCCACCCACATCTGCTTTTCTTATTCCTCTGATGGAACAACTCACTGTATGAAATGATGCTCAGAACCTAGTTTCCAGAGGAACTTCCACACCTGGCCTGTCAAAGTGCCACCTGGCCAGCCCTTTACCAGCCTAATAACCATCGTAATTAGGGGTCCTTACACAACAGGGTCTCCCTTGCATAAGAGAATGGCTGGTGCTTTGGGAAACAGAGCGATGACCATATTCATGACAGTCTTGTAGCAGGAACAGGCACGTCCTCAGATTGTGCCATCAGACTCGGCTAACTTGCCCCATTTCCACAGGGGTTTCATCTTCCTCAACAGCTTCTCTAAATTCCCTTTTGGCATCGAGGAACAGTACCATTGATCCTCTTAAGACTGCTGTTCCACTTGCTTATCTCCCAACAACCATTAACAGCCACACACACTCGCTCCCAGGCCCTCTGACAGCAGGAATTAGAGCCTCTTCTCTCCGCATGGTGTGGGGAGGCAAGGTAAGGATACCCAGAAAAGAAAAGCAGGTTGAAGACAAGTCTGGCTGCTGGAGGGGTTTTGTAAGTCCAGAGGCACCTGACTATGACCATTCAGGCAGTTACCATGGTAACCACCACGTTAGGTTTCCCCTACACCCAGCATGCACAAGCTGTGACCAAGAGGCTCCCTCCTCAGTTTAGGGGCGTCAAACCTTACCCTGAGTGAGCCGGGTAGGCTGCCGGATGGGGAGCCCATCAATAGTGCAGGCATTGCCACAAGGATAGAGGGTAAGGGTACCCCGCAGGTTCTCGATGTAGCAGTGCTCTGGAGCCAAGCCTGGACCCTGAAGTGAGATGTCTCTGGCTGCGGAGCCAATCACTGTTCTCCCTGAAGACAGAAGGCAAACTAAATCAGGGGACTGTCCAGGCGGAGGAGGCAGAGAGAGCAAGAAGGGTCACTGTGGGAATCCAGGGAGAATCTCTGCCCACCACAGCTCACCCCTCCTGGGCCCCTGAGTCTGGTTGAGACTGTAAGTGACAAAAGCTCTTCTCAAACAGAAAACTCTGCCTTGGAATGGGAAGGCACAAAGGGCACAGGAGCCAGACTGAGAGAGTAGAAAAGGAGGATACCACCTTTAGTTTCTCTACCCACTAAGTTCCTTTTTCTTTTCCCCCTTCTGGCTGTTCCCTTTTCTTGCTCTCCCCTTTTCCTTCTGCCACCTGCAACCCGTCCCTTCCCTTCCTTCCTCTCACCCAGTGCAGCCTCTCCCCCAGCCCCTCCTTGGCAGAGTCCCTGGGACTGGTATTTGGAGAATGTGGGGAATGTAGTATCACCCAGGCAACAGGTGCAGCCAGGAGAGAAGAGGGGAGGGCAGAAGCTGAGAATTATAGGGAGCCACGCCAGGGCCTCCTCTTGGGAGATGGAGCCCCCTCTTCCATCTCACCATTCTCCACTGGTCCTGCCTCTCACGCAGGCATCATCGTGGAGTGGGATCCCTTTTTCCCTGGGACATACTGGTTGCTAAGAGCAATGTGCTCTCCTTCTTGTTTCTAAACTGATCTTTAATCCTAGAATGGAGCCAGATTATCTACCAAAGAAGGCAGGCGGTCTGGGGAAGCATTGCTGAGACAAGGCCAGCATTGCTGGCAGAGGCAGAAGGGCCCCCAACATATGCAAGGGAATGGCCTCCAGAACAGAATGCCTGTAATGATGAGGGTGGGGAGTCCCTGTCCACGCTTACCTTCCTCCAGTGGCAGAAGGGTGATGGCTGTGCTGAGCCGCCCGCTGCCCAAGCTCACCAGATGCGGTTTGTCCGTTTGCACTTTCAGCCCTTTGCCTGTCTCGATCAGGTCCAAGGGTCCTTTCTGCAGGTAGTGGGGGTAGGAGATGAGCATCATTATAGACATTAGGCCAGCACCTTACCACCCTAGTCCCAGTCGCACCAGCATTCTCTCCAGCCCTTGTCCCTCTCTCTTCAAAGGGCTCTGAGGTGCTGAAAGGCTTAGCACAAAATCTTACACAAAGCATTATTCCACTAAATTGTAATTAGATCTGAATCTAGGCCACTAACTCGCCCCACTGGATTTATCTCAAGTCTTGGCTCAACTGCCCCTTTTGTCTATTAAAACAGAAACAAGGAGAGAAGTGGGGGGCAGAGCACTAGGTAAGGAGGAGGGGGCACTGTAGAGGAGGGCCAGCCCAGCTCCTTTCAGTTTTGTCCCTGGCTATCTACCTGGCTGCTGCTTGCCCCTACTAAACTAAGCTACAAGGAAGGGCGGAGGCATCGATCCAGGATCCAGCCCAGTGATACAGTCCAGGGACAACCTGTAAACCGCTTCTGACTTTCAAAGGGGAGTTTCTAGGTGAACCAATTAACCTGATTCAGATAAAGACTCAGCTGTTAATAGGCTTGGTAACTGGGGAAGGACAGAGAGGAACAGAACTGCTGCTCTCATCCTTAGGCTAGGGCCACAGATGGGTAGAACAGCTGAACACATCCCCATCAATAACCCACTTACGCCATGGCCCCAAACCCACTCACCTGCACCACAACCTGGGTCTTGCATCCAGGGCCTACCTGGCTCCTATTGAGAGCATCCATGGTCCTAGGACTCCAGAGTTCCTGGGGGCACAGGATAAAGGTGAGATGGGGAGCTCAGGGTAGAAGAGGGAAAGAAATAGGCTCTGTGGCAGGGTTCTCAGGGCCGAGGCAGCAGCAGCTACCCCCTCCTCACCAGCCACAACACAGCCACCACACCATACCAGTCCTGGCCCTTGCCAGGGTAAACACAAATAGCCTAATAGGGCCTGGCCTTATTTCTTTCTTTCTTTTTTTTTTTTTTTAAAGAGAGAGAGAGAGAGAGAGAGAGAGAGAGAGAGAGAGAGAGAGAGAGATTTTTTTTAATATTTATTTTTCAGTTCTTGGCGGACACAACATCTTTGTTTGTATGTGGTGCTGAGGATCGAACCCGGGCCACACGCATGCCAGGCGAGCGCGCTACCGCTTGAGCCACATCCCCAGCCCCTGGCCTGTATTTCTGTGCTTCCTTGCTCTGTGCTACCTAGAACTCAAATCTTACCAGCTGAAGACCCCCAGCCAACTGGACCCTTAAGTAGGTTGGGGGAAATCCCACTAATGGGTGGGTAGAAGAGCAAAATCCAGGGAAGCCCCTCCAGGGACACCAGTAGACAAAGAGTCTCCAGGTGGGTAACTTAATTGAAAAGGGCTCCATCCCCCATCCTTTCCTTTTCTTCCTCTGCCTCTTTCCCAGGGGTCTCAGTAGGATGTTTTTTCTTTCTTCCTTCCTTTTGGGAGGGGGTACCAGGGATTGAACCCAGGGGACTTTACTACTAGGCTCTATTCCCAGCCCTTTTTATATTTTTTTAGTTGTAAGTGGACACAATACCTTTTTTTTTTTTTAATGTGGTGCTGAAGATTGAACTCAGTGCCTCATGCATGCTAGGCGAGCTCTCTACCACTGAGCAAGTCCAGCCAACCCTTTTTATTTTTTGAGACAGAGTCTTGCTAAGTTGCCCAGGCTAGCCTTGAAACTTGTGATCCTCCTGCCTCAGTGTGCCCTCTTAAGTTGCTGAGATTATAGGTATGAGCCATTGCCCCAGCTAGCAGGATGTTTTCTTAAAAGAGACACAGGAAAAACACAGCTATTCTTGCCATCTCTGTTTATCTCAACTCTTATGTCTTCTCTTCCCCAGAAAGCAACCTCACCTCAACCTAATCAGCTAAGTCTCAATGGTGACTATTACTGAGAATGTAGGACTATTGTGTTCTTACCTAGCTTGGTGCTGTAGGAAGCTTAGATTCCAGAACCAGAACTTGAATCCCCACCCACCTACCACCACCACCCATCCCTCTTTCCCTGGTTTATGATTCTAGTACCTGAGAAATGTGAGGAAGAACCTTTGTGTGTTACTGTGTGTCTACATGTCCATCATCTGGCCAAAGTGTCAAAGTGAGAAACATTCATTGGCTGCTGAAATATTGCCCGGGAAAGCTAAGGGCTTAGGGAGGTAGATAAGGAAAGCAGGGTGTCCTTATACTGTTTCTTGCTGCCATCTACCAGGTGACTTACAGAGGAAGTAGGGGCAGGAGCCAGCATTCCAGGAAGTGTCTGACCCTGGCAAAGGGTCCCAAGGGCCTCAGTCATGGAGCTACTAAATTTATCCTCCCAGGTTCCACCCTTCCGGGCCAGGACTACATCATCTCCGTCACCATTTCCAACCAAGCTGGCGGAAGAGAGGCCAGAATAGTGCCTGGGGCCCACCCCAAGCTTGCCTGGGAAGAGGGAAAGCAAAGGCCATTAACACACCAAGCCCCAAGCTGGCTTGGCATCTGCCCAGGCATCCTGGCCACAGGGAAGTTTCCAGGGACAGATTGCTATCCTGCTTCCTTAGACTCAGGAAAATCCCTCAGCATTTTCTGAGGGATAGAGACAAGAGAGTGGATTGGGAATGGGGAGTTTATGTAAAATAATGGGTAAAAAAAGTTAAAAAGTACACAATGGTGAAGAAAAGGCATCATCCTTCAGTGAAGAGTTTTATTTTTATTTTTATGTGGTACTGAAGATTGAACCTAGGGGCATTCTATCATTGAGCTACACTGCCAGCCCATTTTATTTTTTATTTTGAGAGAGGGTCTCATTAAATTGATGAGGTTGGCCTTGAATTTGTAATCCTTCTGCCTCAGCCTTCTGAGTGGCTGGGATTATAGTCATGTGCCACCACTCTCAGCTGGAAAAAATTTTAAACTGGGATACTATAGCCTTAAATTCTCTGCTGACTTTATTATTTATTAGCTATAAAATCTTGGACAAGTTATTTAACTTCTCTGATTGTCAAGTCAATCTTCTATAAAACTAATAATAATAATTTTAAAAGATTGGATTAGTGTTTGCCTGAGGCTAAAGGTAGAATAGAGAGTGAATAAATGGGCATAAAGATTTTGAGAGGGTTGATAGAAATGTTTTAAAATTAAATTTTGATGATGGTTGCACAGCTCTGTAAATATACTAAAAAACATTGCACACTTAAATTGGGTGGATTTTATGGTATATAAATCACACATCAATAAAACTGTTAGTTTTAAAAAAAAGATTGGAGATTCAGTATTTTACTAAATGACACTCTACAAAGTGCAAAGCACTATAAAAATGCCAGCTCTTATTATGAGTTGTGTGACCTTGAGCAAGGCACTTCACCTTTCTGGGCCTCAGTTTCTTCATCTGCCACCCTGGAGTGTTTGTCACTCTGAAGCCTTTCCTGTGATCATTTATTTACACCAAAGAAATTCAAGTGGAGATAAAGAATTATGTTGATGGGGAATAAGAGTGATTAGATGAGAGGTGAGAATGGAACAAGGAGGTGAAAGGAGAGGGAGAGATAAGGAGAGAGTTGTAGGAAGAAGATAAGAGAATATGTAGAGACTGGGAGGTGCAAGGCTGTGGCTCCAGCTCAGAAACCTAACCCAAGTCAAGTGTAAGACATCCAAACCAACCTGCCCCAGCACCAGAGCTGCGTTGACTTAGGGGTCTCGCAGCGCCAGAGAGAGCGGCCACCTGGGGGCGTCCCTTCCTCAGACCCCAACCCCAGCCAGGGCGGCTAAGCGGCTCTGCGCCCGGGCGCCCCCAACTGGCTGGCCCGCTTCCGTCCCACCCGGCTGCTACCCACTACCCTCGACTGTAATTACTCACCCGCCCCGGCCTCTGCTGCCTTTCTGGGAAACTCTGCCCCGCCCCGCCGCCAAAAAAAGGCCGCTGTGGTGTGAGTCCCACTCTGGGGCAAGGAAGCCGGCTCCCACACCCTCACACAGATGCCCAAATGCCTCCTCCGGAGCAAGGTGTGGACGCCTAACTGGCCAGATTTGGAGAGCTACAGGGAAGGTCCACGACTGCGTCGAGGAGGTCACCCCGGACTGGCCCCATTGGCCTCCTCGCCTAGCGGGAACGCGCGAGCAGCTGGGCAACACGGGACACCGGTCCCAGCCTTGTCTGCCGAGTGGGGCGCTCAAAGACTCCCCTCGGGACCTCTGCACCCGAATGAGTGAAGTGAGGCCCGGGCCAACCAGCTCTGGCACCTGCAAGCACTGAAGGAGGCTCCTGGGGCTCCCAGTGACGCCCGAGATGCGAGCTCTATAGCCAGCGCCGAGGGAAAGGCCTGTCCCCCGTGGGACCACTGCTTGCGACACCCAAGCCTTTGCGGGTCACTTCGGCGCTCACCTTGGTCCCGGGAGGCCAGCCGAGGCCTCGCCCCCAGTGTCGCATGGCTGTGGCCGTTGGCCTGCGGCGCCGAGCTGGGGTCCTCTCGGCCCGCTGCGGCTTTCGCCTTCCCGGGCACACATCCGCCCTCCGGGAAGGGCCACAGTCAGAGGAAGGAGTCAGGACAGGAAGGAAACTGAGGCTAGGAGCCCAGAGGGCGGGACGCCCGAGAGGGGCGGGGGTGTCCAAAGGCCCCCAGAAAGGAGAAAACTTAAATAAGGGCGTCTGCGAAGGGACTGGGAGGGGAAAGCGACACGCGGGGGGTTGGAGGGGGACGTTTAAGAGTGAGCCTGGGGATAAGAAAAAAATGAAATCAGAGGAGAAGATTAAGTGCAGAGGATGGCGGGGGAGAGACTGAGGATAGACGATGGGGAAAATTGGGAAGGTCCCAGGAGGTAGAGGGGCAGTGGAGGGGGTGACCGTAGAGCGGTAGGTAGGCGAAGTGGAGGAAAAGAGGGAGATTAGGGGCAGGCCAGCGGCCCCACAAGTGGGGGAGAGGAGATGCAGCCAGATGACAGAGGATACAGCCCCAGTAAGAGATGTGAGTGTAGTTTGGGGGTGTGATTTTTAGTTGGGGGATGCGGGAAAGGTACATCTCGTTCACCTCTCTGAAACCGGCAGGTCGCGTGGGATTTCCGTACGCTAGAGGCCCCTGTCACCCTCTTGGTTGCCCTTCCCCAGGCCGCCGGGTGGGACAAGGCCGCAGTGTTGGGCTGACTGCCGCAGCTGCCCCGCCCGCCCTGACTTCGGGACAAGAGGCCTTTCTTTGGTTGGGCAGAGAGAAGGAACCGCTTGTTTGCGCGGAGGGGAAAAGGAATGGCCCCTACACACAGCAGCTTGCAGCTGGGCAGCTGCAGGAAGGGGACTGGCATGTGTGAGGGACTGCATGTGTGAGTGAGGCTGCCTGTGTGGGTGGGGACTAGGTGTGTAAGCGGGGCAGCGTGTGAATGGGGCTGCGTGAGCACGGGGTACGGTTTCCTATACGTGAGTCGTGCAGTGTGAAACGTGTGGTGGGGTCTAGGCGTGTTAAGGTTTCTGCGTGTGTCCCAATAGCGAACGTAGCACAGGGGCTGTGTGTATGTAACGCGTGGGAGTGGAGGGTGGGGAGCTATGTGTGTGTGCTGTGAGGATGCCCGACGTGAGAGCTTGCGCTTGTGTGACAGCTGTGGATGAACCCGCAGTCGGATGAATCAGCCCCCGGGAGCCTCCGGGACCGCTGAGCTAACGGGCCCAGAATGCAGCCCCGCCCCGGCGCCCGGGGTCCCCCGCCGGGCGGTGCGATAGCGAGCCAAGTCCCGGCTAACGCGCCCACCTCCGCGGAAGCGTCTGGGGCGCCTCGGCAACCCTGCGCCCGGCGGCCCCACCCAGTCAGTCGTCCGCCTGCACTTCCCCATCCCGGGGGAGCCCGATGACTTGGCTCAGCCTCGGCTCGGGGGAACTCCGCTAGGCATTCGGATCCAGACCGCGAAGGCGTGGCGAAAACCTGCGACTTACTCTTTCAAGGTGCCCCATGTGGCCTCCGGGACCCCAAAAGACATGGGGTCTTGAAGAGTGCCTGGGAAACCTCAAACTCTCTTCCCATCTCCTGGACAGCCCCAAGGATCCCTCCTGGACTCCCGTTCCTCCGAGCAGGACTCCTTATCCCTTCGAAATCTATCAAGGCGGCTGACCCAGGGACAAGAGCGGATACGCCACTGGGGATCCCCCTTCCTGTGTTCCTGCTTTTGTCGGAGAAGTTGGTGTGGGCTTTGGAGACAAGGGCACGCACGCACACACGCCACCGCAAATGTCCGTCTAGCCGTGGTGGTGCCTAAAGGAGAGTTTGGATCCGCAAATCTCAGAATCCTTTCGGGGGGCGGGGGGGAGTCCACAAGGGCCCCCTCTGGCGGCAACGTTGGCAGCGGCTTGGAAGGGCAAAATCAAGCTGCTCACGGGAAAGCAGCGAAGCTGACTCCCACAAAGCCCTTTTCATCTCCACGCACTCACCTGAGATGTCCCCTCCTTCCCTACGGGTTTCTTCCGAGCTCCCTACTCTAGAGCTGATCTCGCCAGTACCTGGGGACTTTCCCTTATGCGGTCCCAGCCGTGCAGTGAACCTGCCGTGAGAGTAATGAGAGGAGGTGCGCTTACCTCGAGGGGTGAGGGGGACACCGGTCCCTTGGCCCGGCTCCGCAGCGGCGGCCTCAAACTGGGGAGAACACTGTTACTTTTCCTTGGGAGTCCTCTGAGTAGGAGGAGAGTGAGCCTGTCCCGCCCCCCACCCCCGCGAGTCCCCGCCCCCACCCCCGTCCTGTCAGCCTGGCCAGCCAGAGAAGACGCCCTTGTGGGGCTGGAGCCCAAGGTCCCCCACCCACCCTTTCCCACAGCAGCACCTCCCCCCCGCCTGCACAGCGCCCGCTTTGTTCATCTGTACAGCTGGCTCTCCACCGCCACTGCCACCACCACCACCACCACCACCACCACCACCACCACCACCACAGCACACGAGCACACAGCCTTTCCTTCCGCCCTCCCCTCTGGACTCTCCTAGACCACCCTGGACCCCTGTTTTGACGCTGTTTTGAGAGGGTGTTTTTGACAGCTTGCACTCCCTCTTGTCTCCTATTCTCTTCTCTGTCATCTTATATGCCTAAAACCTCCACTGGTTCCCACTGACCCTCCTAGTCGGCGCAGCCCCAACATACTCTCAATTCAACATTTCCTCCAGAACATCTACTGGGGACACCTAGGTCTTCCCTCCTTACCACCTCTCCTCACTCCATTCCAAGGCCCACCATGAAAAGCCACAAATGAGGTTGAGAACCCTGCATATGAGGCTTCACAGTTTCCTAAGAATAGGTAAAGAAGGCATGTTAAAGTGCCACGCAATCTGAAAAGCAGAGGAAAGCCAAGTGGAGTTACTACCACCAGCTCCCCATTAGCTCCACCCCACCACAGATCTACTGGATTGAGGTTGGGCAATGGGGAGGCAGGCTAGAGACACACACAAGCCTATAGTAAGTTGAGTCTTTGAAGAATGAGGGTTAATAAGAGAAAAAAAGAGGAGCATTAAACACTTAAGAGCAGCCTAGAAACTGAGCCTGGTCAGTCATTCTCTGTCTCAATCCCCACCTAGAAATTGAACACTGACAGTGGATCCTTAACTTGCAAAGCCAACTCTTGCCTCAGGAGACTGGCTGGGAGGCCCTAGGGAGCTGAACTCAGCTAGAGTGGATCTCTTTAACCTGAATGCTATAGAGGGACCCCAGAGACTCTTCCTGGCTGAAGGAAGGAGCAGGAAACCCCAAGTCTAGCCTAAATTCCAGCTGAGTGGATAGCAAAAAAATAAATTGTCTTTGAGATGGAAAAGCCTTGTTCTGATCTGGTGGTTTTAGTTTCTGCCCTCTCTCCCTAACCCAGAAACAGCAGGAGTCTGAACAGCAGGAATCCCTGGTCACTCATTGACAGGGCTAGCATTAGCAGGGGGCCCTTCACCACCAGAGACTGATCCAGCCAAGCAGTGGACAAGAAGGGGGAGAGGGGAGGGTGCTTTTTGTTGCTACCTGTTCTAAGCAGTGGAGGTGGGACAGTCAGTTTCCAGTACACACTGTGGGTACCAGGAAACCTCAGGAGTTGGGAGGCAAGCCTCATTCTTCCTCTGTTCATACAGTTTGAGGTTCATGAAAGGACTTTAACTCTGGCCAGCCTTCATGAAGCAGTTCACAACAGTAATTTTCAAGCTATTCTGTTGTGTTTAAAAAAGAAAAAGAAACAAAATTGTTGTATCCCATATACCAACACCCAGCATTTGTGGAGGGGCTCAGATTGGGGTACCTCAGAATTTTTCATTTCCAACCCTAGCTCCTCTTTACTGTCTCGGTAAAGAAGAATTTCAAGGAATAATTGAGCTGATCATAGAGGCAGCTGCTGCTGAGGCAGGGGGTTGAAACAGCACCTAACTGTCCTCACTGTCCTCCCAATCCAGGGACCAGCTGACCCCTTGATGAAGGCTCTGTGCAATGTGTCCCCTCTCCTGCTGTGTTGGGTCTCTATGTTCCCACAGTAAGAGCACTCAGGGGACTGAAGACCTACTGCCCCCATCCCTCCACCCTCTTCCCACTCCACATCTGGAGCCCATCAAATAACTCAGTGCTTTCTCACAGTTACGCAAGAGGTCGAGCAGCTGGGAGCTCAGGAAAGGGGGAGGAAGAGAGGAGAAGAAAGCAGAAAACAGCTTTCCAGGCATGCTTCAGACTTTCCGAAATGGAAGCAGGGGGAGAGGGCAAAGACTGGGTGTGGAAGGAAGAGTGGATTTTTTTCAAGGCCTCTGCACTTGGCTATGAATGTCAGGAGTGGATTCCACACTCCTCCTGCCTTTGCTTTGGCATATTTCTCACTCTGTCCCTCTTCTCAAACTGCACTCCCTCTACCCCAAAAAGAGGTGATTGTTGCTCACACAACTAGCAGTCCCTGTAGATACACACCCTCTCCCACAAAGCTATCCCTTTCTGACTTCTTTGGATTCTGTACTCAGGCATCATTAGTGTTAGGTGTGGTAGCAGCAAAGATGCCAAACAACTCCTCGCTGCATTCAACTTGGGAAAATGTTCAAACTTTGTTTCAGTGGCTGCAAAGCAGCAGAAGCTCCTTTCTCAGCTTGTCCTAGAAAAATTACACAAACCTAATAGATCCAAACTGAGTGGGAAATTTGGGCAGGACAGATGACTGGTTCTGTGTCTGGGGCTTAGGATCTTCCTGTGGGCTGTAAAGAACAAGCATTAAAGGCTTGGGGTACACATAGTGGTAGAAAGCCTGTTGCGTTAGCTCTAGGGCCTGCCTTCAATTTCCATCATCACACTCATTTGGACAAAAGAATGGGAAACAAGACCTGTTTCCATTTCTCTTTGCCTTGGATTTGTAATGCCTTTCTTTCAAATAACTCCTGTCCTGGTTTGGTAACCAACCTGATGTTTCCAGAATTGGATTAAACCACTTAGGAGTTAAGTAGTTAACATGGCAAAAACCTTCTTTTTTGGTGAAGAATGGGAGAAAGTGCCTGGTAGTTTGGCTTCTTTTGTTTGTGAGAGGGAAAACAGCCTGGAATGGGAAAGTTAGTCTAATTTCCCTAAAGGCCTACCTTGTATTTATCACTAACTCCCCAGGGTAAGATAGAAGACATTTATAGAGATGGGGTCTGCCCTTGGGTAACGGGAATGCACAGCAACCAACCTACTTGTAGGTATAATAGGAATTTCAAAGCTCTAGAGTTGTAAATATACTTGCCAAATGAGGTAAGAAGAGGGAATGGACATGTATGTATGTGTATGTGGTGTTACTATAAGATAAATGTGCTTAGTATAGAGGAGTCATTCTGAGTTTTTGCCTCCCTGCCCCCAGTACTAGGGATTGAACCCAGGGCTTCACACATGCTAGGCAAGTGTTCTACCACTGAGCTACATCCCCAGCCTTATGTTTCATTTGATTCCCCTGAAGCCTACCTGAAAAGAAGCCATACTCTCGGGCTGGGACTGTAGCTTAGTAGCAGAGCACTTGCCTAGCATGCATGAGGCACTGGGTTCTATCCTCAGCCCACATTAAAAAAAAAAAAAAAAAAAAAAAGCAAATAAAGGGATTCTGTCCATCTATAACTACAAAAAAAATTAACAAAAACATACTCTCATTTAGACCCATGTTATCACTAGTTGTAGTTAACATTGGTCTAGCTTAGAAAAAGATTTCATAACCAGGTAATCACTGCTTCCAGTTGGATTTTTTTTTTTTGAAGATGAGGACTGTTTCTCTCCTATCTCCTTAAAATAAACCCTGCCAGAGGTGAACTTTAACAAAAGGCTATTCTACATCCACCCTGGAAATCTCTCAGATCCTACCAAGTATGAACAATTTTAAAATCAATTTAAAGGCAAAAATTTCCATCATCAGAGATGGCACAGGTTGAGTTTTGAGATTTGTTGCTAGCAAGAGTGATTTTTTTTAACATGGAACTCCTGTCCAGAGAGGTATGATCCCAATCTTCTCTACATGGGATTAATCAATTCAGAGCATGAACCACAAGCCTCCTACATTAAACAGAATGCTTGACTAGATCTATTTTGCTAGACTCCCTCACAAGAGGCCAACAAAAAAATCCATGTGATATCACAGAGGAATTAGCAACCCTAATTATGACACTTGTGGCATGATTTTGGTATTCTTCACTAGATTAAGGTTACAATCGCAGCAAGGCAAGCCATATTTTAGCATCATTAAATCAGATACTATTTCATTAAGAAAAAAATTCATAATCTTGGCCTTTATCATTACAATGCTTTCATTTTAGACATTTATTATTCAGAGTTCTCTGTTTTCCTAACAATTTGTTTACATTCAATATTTTTCCCAAGTTGAATAAAAGAGGAATAAAAAAGTAAGACACCTTCTCTGAGGGAATTAACAATTCCCAAGGCATTCATTGCCTCTTCTTGGTTCTCTTAAAAAAAAAAAAAAAAAAGAATAACTAGTAATATAGGAATCCACCCAGGACATCATGCATGCTAGCCAAGTACTCTACCATTGAGCTACATTCCCATCCTTTTTCTATTTTGAGACACAGTCTTGCTGTTTCCCAGGTTGACCTACAACTTGTGATCCTCCTTCCTTAGCCTCAAGTAGTTAGGATTATAGGGGTGTCCCACTATGGCCAGCTCCTGATTCACATCTTACCGCTGCCTAACAGGGAGAATAATATGCTGCATAACATTATTCTTTGAAGATGATACTTCATTTTTCTGATTGTACAATTGCCCCTGATAAAATTAAGACTTCAAATTAAGACTCACTGAACCCACAGCCTCCTCCCCAAAGCCATAAATAGTAACAAATTCAAAATCTATGTTGTTAGGAACATATGTGTGCATGCTCAAATGTAGAAAATACATGAGGCGCAATACCTGTAAAATGGAGGAAAAGGCAATGAATACTCTTGCTTAGAGATTATTTTCTCTTAAAAAAAAGTATCATCAATCTTTAATCTTAGATCCTATTACAGCATCCTGAATCAGCAAGCAGACACCTAAGTGTAAGTCAAGAGCCTACTAAACATCTCATTTTATAATACTCTTTATTTGATTAAAGAATTTACTTTCTTTGTGTACACTGGAATGTTATATTCCCTATGTATTTTACAGGGTTACAAAATGTCTTTCATTTTAAATATTACCCCAAAAGTAATTTCAGAAAAAAAAATTGTGAAATTAAACTTGACTTTTTAAAAATCATATAGACAAGCAACTCTCAAACAAAAAAATGGATTAATAAGATTTCTTGCCTACTTAACTACATGACAGACTTCTTGTCCCAGTCCCCTTCCTCAGAAAAACCTCATGTGGAAACCAAGCTAGAGATAAGGATTCTTCCCTGATACAGTTAGGGGAAAGGGAAAGGCCAGAAATTTCTTTGGCAAGCAATTCCAGCCATGGCCATTTGTGATTACTTTGCTTCAAGTACAGTACACTCTTTGCAGGGAGGGCCGGATGTTCAGAGGGAGCAGTGGTCTCCAAACAGCTCAAAGAGCAGGAGGTCATCTATGGGCCTGCAGCCACTCAACCCTCACCCTACCAAGTGCAATACTGGGTTAAAGACCAAAGCTAGGCTGGCTGATGTTGTTCTCCACTGAAAAAGTAATGGATGAAATGGAGCTGAGAAACAATCATTACATGATGATACTCAAAATATTTAGGGGGAGGAAAAAGATTTCAAGAGACAGGCTGGTGGAAAATGGTGGGTTGGCTGCAAGAAACATGGTACACAAGAATAATCCCTCCACAACCAATATAATCAACTGCCTCTTGAAACACTACAACTTCAGTGTTAGAGATGGAGTTTCTCTGATAGTTCAGGGCTAAACAGACTGGCAAAGACTCACTGAACCCACAGCCTCCAAAATCATAACCTCTTTTCTGCTAGAAAGGAGAGGACTGATGAAAGAGTGATCAGGAAGAGGGAGGTGGTGAAGTTGAGGAATGTGAATGGATTCCAAAGACTGTTTTGGCTCAAGTACCCAAAATGTAGAGAACTGGAAGCTTGGGTTGCACTAGCAGCAGACATGATTACATGTAGATGTGAAATTCCTTACTGAACACAACTATTCTTCTCCTAGACATCCTGGAGAGGGGACTGCACCATCTGAAAGCTGCTTCTCAGCTATATTTAATATTGACACAAGTAGGAAAGTCAGGCCTTAAAAGGAAAACAACTTGGCAAATGGTAGAGGGATAGATGGACAGAAAACAACCTTTTCCTTTAACTTCTAGACTCCATACCCCTTAATTAGTTCACCTGTATTGTCCAAAAATCAGTGGGTTAGATAACCTTTGTTCCAGGAGTGCCATATATAATGCCTATGTACAGATGATCCCCGTGCTTGATTGGCTGTACAGAAAGAAAAACTAATGGTAAAGGAAAGGAGTATGAAAGATTAAAATCTTCTACAGAGAAAACTTTCTAAAAACAAATGAAATATGAAATATAACTATATTTAGGGATTAAAAGAAAGGAGCAACTTAGGTGAAAGCAGAGTAAGTGTTTACAGGGGGCATTCTCTGGAGAGCTTGCTTTCCTGCTGGCCAGTAAAATCTGCCAAAGAAATCAGCAGCCTTTCCCTTTATGTCTGTGTCATGTCTTTGTCAAAGAATGTCTCCATGACACTGAAACACTGGGGGTGAGTTGAGGGTCCTTGAGTGCAGAGAACGTGCACTGTATCAGAAAAAAGGGTCTCCAATGGCTTGTAAATTTGGAAAAATTCTTCAGCCACTTTTGGCTTCTTCTTTATAAATTTGAAAATTTTCCTTTCTGGTTCTTTCTTCTTGGTATTACAGGATTTCATACTTATCCACTAGGAAAGTGGTCTCTGTGGAAAACCTGACAGGGCTGTTTCCATCTACCTGGGTCACTTTGGTAACCTAGGAAAATAAACAAAGAATATTGTAAAGCAAAAGGAGGATGATTCTAGTCTCCAAGAAGCTAACTAAATCCTCATTACAGAACAGATCAAGTCCCCTAAACATAGTATTAAAAGTAGCTTAGAAATACTAAAAACTCTTCAAATCATAACTGCAGTTCACTGCCTAACGCTTACCCATCAACATACCCATGACTCATCTGCTCTCCAGAGAAGGAGAAAGGGTAATTTGTCATGAGATGTAGAGCAGAATTAATAATATTAAGTAAAAGCTCCAGAATGAGCGACCACAGCCCAGCTCTACCCTTCAGAACCTATGAAACTCATCAACATTCTATCAAAATGATCAATTAACATGTTAACCCAAAATGCAACATTTTAACTCTTTAATATTATTCATTTCATCTGTTCAAAAAAATTTCTTGTGTTCAATGTTCTATTAAGGTATTCCACAATACTGATTTTCTAAGGCATGGCTGGTTTCTTTCAATGAGATTCTTTTTCTAATAATAGGACCAAATAGGAAAACCCATTTTGGGTTTTAACCCAATACGGATGGGGTTATGCCACTAACTGAGAGTGAGTACTGCTCTTCAGAATCTACAGAAGAAGCTGTAACTTCCCAAGAACTTCCCAGATAAACAGAATCCATATGGGAAAATAAGGTAGTTGCAGAATAACAAAGAAGTCAAATAGACGAGAAGACTCTATAAACTGGGTCCTATTAATGCAAATCGAAACACTAGAGGTGAATTTAAAATGCTAAAGGAACAGTTTACACATTTCCATTGCTCTGTCTACCTAAAAGACAAAGTTTGCAACAGAAATGGTTCATGATTGTTTGCAGTAATTCAGGGAGCCATGCCATAAATAATCTGAAAATTGGCATGTATAAATATGACATAATGAAGCTCACTGTTCTACATAATATACACTAACAAAAATCCAGAGCTTTGGATGTGGCTCAGTGGTAGAAGACTTGCCTAGCATATGTGAAGTCCTGGATTCAATCCCTAACACTGGGAAAAGAAAAAAAAAAAATCCCCAAATCATTTCCATTTGTTAGAACCACTTTTTTTTCCTTTGGTGATGGTGGTGGTGCTAATGACAGGGCTTCCGGCATATTAGGCAAATGCTCCACCAGGGAGCCATAGCCCCACTCTTAAAACTTTCTTTTTCTATGGACTGGGGTTATGGCTCAGTGGTAGAGCGCTTGAACATGTGAGGCACTGGGTTTGATCCTCAGCACCACATAAAACCAAATAAATAAATATATAAAAGAAATACTTAAAAAAAAAACCTTTCTTTTTCTTTTTTTAGATTGACACAATATTCTTATTTCTATTTCTATGTGGTGCTGAGGATTGAACCCAGTGCCTCATGCATGCGAGACAAGTGCTCTATCACTGAGCTAAAATCCCAGCCCTTTCTTTCATTTCTTGGGTAGAACTGAGAACAAGACATTATAAAATCATGCATTGAGTATTTGGACAAATGGATTTTAAAATGGACACAACTAAGTGTATACCCTACAAGTACTTTTATGCACATTCCATATTCAATTTTTTTTGTCTGACCTACATAGAAAATCTTAGGTGAGGCAGGTGAGAAATTTGACCATAATCAATTGGTCAGAAATGGAATCTGCGGGGGACATTAGCTTTGATGATTTTTGCTCTAACATGAAACCATACTGCCCAAAAGCCATCTATCCCACTTTTCTTCTCATACATGCACTCTATTAAAATGGAGTACCTGTATGTTACAGTAATTTTTTTTGGAGATGAAAGAAACTTGAACCGGGAAGAAGTCATTGGGCTGCCCAGCAATGCTAAACTCCAGGCTGCCACTCTTATTTTTGGCATCAATCACTGGCAGGCACCACTCCAAGGTATTTCGTCGACTGTCATGTCGATATTCCCCATCGATCTCACCAATAACTGGTGCACCAACACCGGATCTGTCATGAGAAATATCTGGTCAAGTTAGGTGTCCAGAGATTGAAGAACTGCAAGGAAAACCAACCCCAAATTTGATTACGCTTCTCAAATTCAGCTTCAAGTTTTCTAGAACTGCAATATTTATGCAGTCCTGGAAAAATTAGACTCCCTAATAATAACTTCAATGGTCAAAGTCCCAGCACCCTGGCTAAGGATCTTACTCAATTCTCTGTAGATATGGGTATATACAATGATAGATACTTGGCAGATAAACCTGGGAGCTAATAGGGGACTAATACTGCAAATGAGTGAAGCAGGACATGTTTCCAAAAATTCTACACTAATGATCTGTTATAATTTTAATACAATTCAACTCTCTTTATAGGTAACAATGGAGAATAAAGCAGTATTGGGGAGAGGCAGTACTTTAAACACGTAATGGAGATGAATTTGTCCTGTGAGAGAATTTGTTTTCAGAAAACTGAGAAAGATTCAAAACTGCCTGACGCTGATGCCAAAAGATTTATCTGATTTATAATCAAGTGGACTCTCATTTGATAAATTGAAGCACAATTATCCCTGGGCAAAGTGGAAACATGACGGGAGAAAGAGATATATATGGTTGTCTTTATTCTACAAAAGAATCAGGGCTAGTTTGAATGTACTGTATACCCTCACACATGGCTGACAGGCAGTGTCATCAACTCCTACACATTCTAAATTTACCATCTTTTAATTCACTAGTGACATTCAATGCTTGTATCAGGGGCAAGGTAAATATGGGAGACAGAGAAAACTTTAAGGGTGGCATAAGACATTTATTAACTCTTCTCTATCAATTTTATGGTCCTAGTTCTTTTATATTCCTTCTCTGTGCCCCTTATTCCAATCTGATCTCTTCTAATTTGATCAGTTATAGACAATGGAGTAAAGTGCTGTCTTAAGGGTCTCTTCTACAGACTATTGAACTAAGACACAGGAAACCACTGAAACCACAATTATAGGGTGGACAGAAGGGCCTAAAAATTGTGGCATCCTAAAAATAGTCTAGTAAAATAAATCTTGACAAACAAAACCCCACCTATTACCAATGCCCAAATCCTACAACGTTTCAAGGCAGCCATCTATTGTTCCACAAGAATAACCAAATTGTGAATAACAGGATTTATATGTGCGTGTGTGATATATGTCAATACTTATATCTGTATATATGTCTATTTAACATATATATATGATATTGGTTATAAAGTATATCTTTAAAAATGGAAATAAGAGCCAGGCACATTTATCAAATGAGAATCCACTTGATTATAAATCAGATAAATCTTTTGGCATCTCAGAAAGCTGAGGCAGGAGGATCTAGAGTTCAAAGCCAACCTCAGCAACTTAGTGAGACCCTATCTCTAAATAAAGTCTAAATGAGTATAAAAAATGGCTGGGGTTGGGGGCTGGGGTTGTGGCTCAGCAGTAGAGCGCTCGCCTCACACCCACACGTGTTCGGCCCTAGGTTCGATCCTCAGTACCACATAAAAATAAATAAATACAATGATGGCATTGTGTCCAACTACAACTAAATAATAAATATTAAAAAAAAAAATGGCTGGGGATGTGGCTCAGTGGTTAAGCCCCTGGGTTCAATCCCCAGTACAAAAAAAAAAAAAAAAAAAAAAAAAGAACTAAGAATGACAAATGACAAACCAGACTTGACAATGTAAAGGACTGAGTTAATCAAAAGGGAACAAAAATATAAATTAAGTTAGTACCATTTTCTCCACAACAATAGTAAAGTTCCTCTAAAAAATATACTATTTTTCATAATTAAACCTGGTACTTATTCAGGGTTAAAGGAGTGCAGCTGAGATTCACTGAGGAAGTACAAATGTACAAGTCATTGAAAATGTAACTGAGGAAATAAATTTAAGGTGGAGAGTATTTCAAGATGATCCTGGGGAGTAGGTCATTTAAGTGCATGGCACTAGAGGGGCTGGAGATGTGGCTCAAGTGATAACGCGCTCGCCTGGCATGTGCAGGGCGCTGGGTTTGATCCTCAGCACCACATGAAAATAAAATAAAGATGTTGTGTCCACGGGGGTGGGGGGGAGGAATTACTAGAACTAATTTTGAAGGGGTAACTGGCATTTTCATTTTCTTGATTGTATTGACAGTTGCACAGGTACACATGTCAAAACTTAACCACTTTGCACAACTTAAATATGTGTAGTTTATGTTAATTATACTTAATAAAACTATGAGAAAATTTACTGAAACTGATGTAGATATCTTGTTTCAGCAAGAATCAATAGTTCCACTGAATATATTCTCATCTTTAGTGATAGTTAAGACAGTCAGTGAAAAATAAAAATTCAGTCTGACAGACTCAACTTCTTTGTGAAACAAAACAAAGAAAATGTGACTGAAAAGTGGCTCCTCCTTTTGGAAATCTTCATTATTACATGAAGATGCTAAGAACTAATACCTAGCCCCAGAACTACAACTGGCTTTTTTGTTTGACTGGTTTGAACTGAAAGCCAAAGCTTATACACTCAATGTATTTTAACAAATGTATGCAGTCTTGTAAGCACCATCAAAATCAAGTCATAGAACATTTCCATCATCCCCTGAAATTCCTTCTGTCCTTTTGTAGCCAAATACTTTCCCCTCTACTTCCTGATGTTGTTCTAAGAGTATTACCTTTTCCAGAAAGTCTTGGAAGTAGAATCATATAGTAAGTAGCCTTTGGTGTCTTGCTTCTTTTACAATTGGTCTTTTTAAAAAGCAAATATCTTAGAATGCACTGCAGCAAGGTGCTTCCTCCAAAAAGACCAGTTCTATAAGCTAACATAGGGGACACGATTATGTGGGGGACACCACTTACGGAAGTGGGATGGTGATAACTACATCATTCAGTTCTAAGTTGTCTTCTTGTAGCTCGTATTCTATGTTGACATCACAGCCATTTCCACTCTCTGAGGGCCAGCAATTAACTGAGGAGTAAAGCAAAGCAGTCATACTAGAACATCAGAAAAAAGTAAAATTGCCTCAACATTTTGACTAAAATGAAGTATGGAAAAAGAGTAGATAAAAGTTAAGATGGCAGGGGCTGGGGCTGGGGCTGAGCAGTAGAGCGCTCACCTGGTACATGTGAGGCCCTGGGTTTGGTCCTCAATACCACATAAAAATAAATAAATAAAATGGGGGTGTTGTGTCCAACTATAACTAAAAAATAAAATATTAAAAAAAATGGGGCTGAGATTGTGGCTCAGTGGTAGAGTGCTCACCTACCATGCATGAGGCACTGGGTTCAATCCTTAGCACTACATAAATATAAAATAAAGATACTGTGTCCACCTAAAACTAAAAAATAAATATTAAAAAAAAAAAGGTAAGATGGCAAATCCAAGCTAATTAACATCTGCAGGCTTAAAACATTCTAATATAAACTATATATATGAAAAATTTAAGTGAAGTCAGACACTGTTGTGCACACCTATAATCCCAGCTACCCAGAAGGTAAGAGGATCGAAATTTCAAGGCCAGCCTGGAAAACGTAGTGAGACCCTATCTAAAACGGAGGGGAAAAAAGGGTGGGGTGGAGAGTAAGGGCTGGGAATATAAGCTCAGTGCCTCTGTTTTCAATATCCAGTACCTCAAAAAAACAAAACAAAAACAAAAACAAAAGTAAAGCAAATGATTAAAAGCAATTTTGAAAGGTCATTTTGTCAAAAATAACTTTGCTATGGCAAAGAAAATGAAAGTGCACAAGCTAGGATTATTTCAAGTTTTCAATGTAGACTAGCTCAGTGGAAATGGTTAGAGGCACTTACTTGTCAGTGGAATAAAAGATTCCTCTGTGGTCTGTAGTCTCCACTTTAGCACTCCTACATCACTATTGACTGGAAACGACTTCTCTGGATTCTTTAAGCCAATTAGAGACTCTGAGGTGAAAAGTTTTTTATCCACATTTGGATGGGTCTGGAATGAGTCAGGAAGGAAAACTTAGGTTCAGAAAGGATAAGACAAGAAATAAACTCCCTCTGGGTTTACATGGCCCATAATCTAAACATCTAAGATAAAGTGTCAAAGCTGAGTACCCTGGTGCATACCTATAATCCCTGTAGCTCAGGAAGCTGAGGCAGGAGAATTCCAAGTTTGATGCCAGCCTCAGAAACTTAGCAAGGCCCTAAGCAACTTAACAAGACCTTGTCTCTAAACAGAATATTTAAAAGGACTGGAGATGTGGATCAGGTGTTAAGTGTCCTTGGGTTCAATCTCCAGTACCAAAACAAAGAAACAACTTATAATTGAAAAAGTCAAAGAATAATAACCAGGTCCTTTCCAAAAATACTTCAACAGGGAGCTATTTCTTGCAGAAGACTAAATCAGGGAATAGGAGTGAGGTTCAGTGGTAGGGTGTAACACAAAACAAGTGCATGCGCGCACGCAGAGGATGACTGAAGTCAGATGATAATCAGCTGCCAGGGTCAGATAGCAGTCTTGGCCTTATATAAAAACAGATAAGAAAGGAAAAAGCTAGGGCTAGGGATGTGGCTCAAGCGCCTGGCATGCATGCGGCCCGGGTTCGATCCTCAGCACCACATACAAAACAAAGATGTTGTGTCCGCTGATAACTAAAAAATAAATATTAAAATTCTCTCTCCCTCTCTCTTTAAAAAGAAAGGAAAAAGCTATCTGTAGAGTCTAGCTGTAATTTTGCCTTAGAGAACGTAAGCAATTTAGTGAGACCCTATTTCAAAATAAAAAGAGCTGGGGATGTGGCTCAGTGGTTAAGTGCACCTGGGTTCAATCCCTGGTTTTGGGGAAAAAGTCTCATCTTTTTAAAATAAATTGTATTAGAAGAAAAACAAAATAAGTCACTTCTGGGTAGCAGTCTACATATACTTTAATAGCCAGCAAAGATGTTGTTAAATTATAAAAGCACTGCTTCCAAAAGAGAATTCTGCTGATTGTGGGGAAAATAGACAAAAATACACTTTTCCCTGAAAAGGCTTTGTTGTTGAACAAGATGTAAAATCAACCACCTAAATAAAATGTGAAAAGAACCACCATAATAAGAAGATACAAGGGCTCAAATACATTTAATATTTGTCCACACATATTTATTCTGGTAAGTATTTTATGCACTGTTTATTTATTTCATTATTTATTTAGTTGTTGATAGATCTTTATTTCATTTATATGTGGTGCTGAGAATCGAACCCAGTGCCTCACACATGGCAGGCAAGTGCGCTACCGCTGAGCCACAGCCCCAGCCCTGCACTTTTCAAATATACCATTACTAGATACTGCCATTCATCTAATAAAACAAACTCTGGCAGTTTATAAAGGACAGAATGACTAAACTGATTGTCATACCTGTTTTAATAAAATATCTCCTAGTAAAGTTTTTTGCTAAGTTGCTTATGATCCTCCTGCTTTAGCCATCGGAGTCACTGGGATTACAGGCATGTGCCACTATGCCTGGTAAGAAAACCATATTTCAAGTAAGAAACTAAATTACTTTACTTTTTTCATAATAGTTAAACATCTCTTTGCCGCTATTGTTAGTGATATGAAGAAATCACCTACTAAATTTCAAAAGGATCTTTCATTCAATCCCAATATTTGAAAGTCATTCTAATACTGCTACAGTCTATCACTGAGGAACCACTGTATGTAACATATTAACTTCTTTCCTATGCATCTACAATGGCACTAGCTCTATTACTTAAATAATTTTCTGTATTCTGTGGTTCATGAGGACTTCTAGTTGAGAAACACTATGCTTTGGGTTAGGAATGTAGCTTGGTGATGGGGCACTTGTATACTATGTATAAGCCCATGGCTCAATCTCTAGCATTATAAAAAATTTTTTTAAAAAAAGAGTAAGAAGATGACAACTGTGCTGGGTAGACCAAAGTCTAAATACGTACCTGTAGCTGTACCCCTTTCTTATCTTCATTTTCCACATGAAGACGAATTCGGCCAAATTTGTCATCTGAGATCCTAAGCATGATCATGCCATGCAATTCCATGTTCTGTAATCCTCCATCTCGTCCACAGGTTAGCGTGATCTTTTCTTCAATCTTCATATGCACACTATAAAGAAAAAGTAGTTAATTTGTTGAGAAAGGTAGAAACCAAAACTCTCTTTCTCTGGGTGATTAGCCATCAAAAAATATTTAAGATGCTGCTGCTTTATCAAAATCTAAAGCATTATTCTCTTTGATTCAGCAACTCTCTAGAATTTATTCTATAACTAAATTGTCACCCGTGCAAAACAACGTATTATTATTTTTTAAATATTTATTTATTTATTTATTTTAGTTTTCGGCAGACACATCTTGATTTGATGTGGTGCTGAGGATCGAACCCCCCACCACGCGCATGCCAGGCGAGTGCGCTACCGCTTGAGCCACATCCCCAGCCCCAAAACAATGTATTATTTTTCACAAAAAATTGTTTGTAGACTGGGTATGGCACTATGCACTTATAATCCCAGCAACTCTGGAAACAGAGATAGGAGGACTGCAAGTGTGAGGCCAGCCTGGGCAACTTAGTGAAACCTTGTCTCAAAATAAAAGTAAAAATAAAAAGGGTTGGAGATGTGGTTCAATGGTAGAGTATCTAGTACTACAAAACAACCAACCAAAAATATTATTAATAACAAAAAGAATCATTTGTGGAAAAAAATTGAAGGCATTCCCTCTAAAAACTGGAACAAAACAGGGATGCCATCTTTCACCACTTCTATTTAAACATAGTTCTTGAAACACTGGCCAGAGTAATTACATGAAAGAAACTAAAGGGAAACACAGAGGAAAAGAAGAACTCAAATTGGCACTATTTGCTGATGATATGATTCTATACCTAGAAGATGCCAAAAAAGTTCCACCAGAAAACTTCTAGAACTAGTAAATAAATTCAGCAAAGTAGCACGACATAAAATCAACACCCATAGGGCTGGGGATGTGGCTCAAGCGGTAGCGCGCTCGCCTGGCATGCGTGCGGCCCGGGTTCGATCCTCAGCACCACATACAAACAAAGATGTTGTGTCCGCCGAGAAATTAAAAAAAAAAAAAAAAAAAATCAACACCCATAAATCAAAGGCATTTCTGTATATCAGTGACAAATCCTCAGAAAGGGAAACGAGGAAAACTACCCATTTACAATAGCCTCAAAAAAAACAAAAACAAAACAAAACAACAACAAAAAAAACCCTTAGGAATCAACAAAAGAGGTGAAAGATCTATATAATTAAAATTACAGCACAATTCACAACAGCTAAACTGTGGAACCAACCTAGATGCCCTTCAGTACATGAATGGATAAAGAAAATGTGGTATATATACACAATGGAATATTACTCAGCAATAAAATAGAATAAAATCATGGCATTTGCAGGTAAATATGGATGGAGTTAGAGAAGATAATGCTAAGTGAAGTTAGCCAATTCCAAAAAACCAAATGCCAAATGTTTTCCCTGACACAAGGAGGCTGATTCATAGTGGGATAGAGAGAGGGAGCATGGGAGGAATAGATAAACTCTAGATAGGGCAGGGGTTGGAGGGGAGGGGAAGAGGCATGGGGTTAGAAATGATGGTGGAATGCGATGGTCATTATTATACAGAGTGCATATATGAAGACACACACTGGTGTGAATACACTTTATATACAACCAGAGATATGAAAAATTGTGCTCTATATGTGTAATAAGAATTGTAATACATTCCACTGTCATATATAAATAAAAAAAATTTAAATAATAAAAATTTAATATTTTACTTTTTAAACAATGTATTAAACATGTAATTAAAATCAATGTATTTAATTTTTTATAAAAAATTTTTAAAAAAGAATTATTTGTAGTAAAAAAAGTTTCAATGTCCATCTGTGGGGAACTGCTTAAATATATAAAGGAGGCTGGGGATATAGCTCAGTTGGTAGAGTGCCTGCCTCACATGCACTAGGCCCTGGGTTCAATCCCTAGCACCACAACCTCAGCCCCTACCTGTATGTATGTATGTATATATGTATGTGTTCACCACAAAATAAATAAATACAAGCATACATACATAGATATATAAATACATACATAAAGGTAGGGGCTGAGGTTGTAGCTCAGTGGTAAAGTGCTTGCCTCGTATGTGTGAGGCACTGGGTTCAAACCACATAAAAATAAATATAGATACTGTGTGTTTATCTACAACTAAATAAACATTCTAAAAAAATACATAAAGGTATATCAATATGAATGAGTACAAGGCAGCTGTGGGGGGATGATGAGAAAAAAACTGAAAAATCTTTTTATTTAAAAACAATTTTAAGGGGCTGGGGATGTGGCTCAAGCGGTAGCGTGCTCGCGCCTGGCATGCGTGTGGTCCGGGTTCGGTCCTTAGCACCACATGCAGGCAGGGATGTTGTGTCCGCCGAAAAACTAAAAAATAAGTGTTGAGAAATTCTCTCTCTCTCTTTAAATTAAAAAACAAACAAACAAACAAAACAATTTTAAATTTTAAGAAATTATAGGTGTATGCCTATAATCCAAGTGTCTTGGGAGGCTGGGACAGGAGGATTGCAGGTTCAAAGCCAGCCTCAGCAACTTGGCGAGGCCTTGACCAACTTAGCAACACCCTGTGACTCAATGGTTGAGCCTCCTGGTTTGAATCCCTGGTAAATAATAATAATAATAATAATAATAATAATAATAATAATACTGCAGGGCATGGTGGTACACTCCTGTAATCCCAGTTACATGGGAGGCTGAGGCAGGAAGATAGCAAGTTCCAGGCAAGCCTGTTTTTTAATTTAGGGACACCCTATCTCAAAACAAACACTGAAAAGGCCTGAGGATGCAAAACAGTGGTAGAGCACCCATGGGTGCCCCAATTCCAATAATGATGATGATGATAATAATAATAATAATAATAATAATAATAATAAATCCCTCAAATGAGGAAATTCTTATCTATAAATAATTAAATGCAAAAAAGCAATTAGACAATGTGTTTAGAATGCTACTGCTATGCTTTGTTTTGTTTGGTACTGGGGATTGAACCCAGGGGTGCTCAACCACTGAGCCACATCCCCAGCCCTTTTTTACCTTTAATTTTTGAGACAGGGCATCAATAAGTTACCTAGGGCATTCTTTGCTAAATTGCTGAGACTGGTTTTGAACTCCTGATCCTCTGCCTCAACCTCCCCAGATGCTAGGATTATATCTTTGCACCATGGCACCTGGCTAGAATGCTGCTGCTTTGTATAAAAATGAAAAAGAAGCCAGGTATAGCCTGTAATCCTAGCTACTCAGGAGGCTCAGGTAGGAGGATCTTAAATTTAAAGCCTGCTTGAGCAAATTAGCAAGACTGTCTCAAACTAAAAATTAAAAAGGCTGGGGATGTGGCTCAATGGTTGAATGTCCTTGGTTTCAATCCCCAATACCACAAAAATAAAGGAATAAAAAAAGATACATTTTTATTCTTCTATACATCATAGACTATCTCTTCAGAAGGATACACAAAAAGCTAGTTGATGTCAGTTGCTTCCACAATGAAAAACTTGCATGTCTAGATGGGAGGAATACTTTTTATATTAATGTCTTTTGAAACCTTTTGAATTTTGTGCTATAGGAATATATAACTTAATAACAAAATAAGTAAAATTAAAAAGTGCTGCTACTATGGGTGATTATTAAATACAATCTATCCAAATTCTATAATAAAACTATTTTTAGTTGGGTGAACTTCAGTTCATTCTCTATTTCAACTCTTATTTTCCGCAAAACAAAGGTTTTCAGACTCAAGATCACAAAGGACTGTGTATCTTAAGATAATGCAGGGTCTCATTTTACCTTCACAAGAGTTTTTCTGCACTCAAGAGGTTCTTCATGATTAAAAAGAACCTTAATCTCTAATGTGATAGTCTCCAACCTGTGTTTAAAAGTGTGATGCCTTTGTCTCACTTAAAACAGCCAATAGGGATAGGACAGGCACTTCAGTGAGTCAAGAGAATTATCTGGATGTAACTCTATTCATTTTCACACAGAATAGAACATCTAAAGAGTAAATACTCTACTATTATGTAGACCTAATTGAGGTATCCTCCCAGACTCATCTTTCACTTGACCTCAATACCATCAGCAACAGTAGAAGGTCTGGACTCAAGAGAAGAAATCTGAGTCATGAAAATGTGAACTTGATCAACCACCACTTAAAAATGTTATAAACCACTGTCTCAACCCTGAAATAAAAGACAAACCCAAATATTCTACACCGGGTTCAAATACTTAAAAGGCAAAATATGTTAACCTGCTGTTAAAGTTACATACAAATTTTGGATTAAAGAATGGTTTTTCTTTACAATTTAATTAGAAAAATATGCCAAAATATAGTGCAGAGTCATCAGACCCTTCATTCAAATCCATTTTTAAAACTTTTTTGGTACTAAGGATTGAACTCAGCTACTAAGCTGTATCCTTGTTTTTTTTTTTTTTTGTTTTTTTTTAGTTGTCAATGGACCATTATTTTATACATTTATTTATTGTAGTGCTGAGAATCAAACCCAGTGCCACACATATGCTAGGCAAGTGCTCTACCACTGAGCAACAACCCCAGCCTGCCCAGATTCTTTTTAATTTTCTATTTTGAGACAGGGTCTGCAAAGTTGCTGAGGTTGTCCTCAAACTTGGAATCCTCCTGTCTTAGCCTCCTGAGTCTCTGGGATTACTGGAGTGCGCCACCATGCCCAGCTAATTCAAACTTTATTTTAAGAGACTTGCTCCACGCTAGACAAATCACTTTTGCTTAACTTACCCAATAAAAGGCAAAAACGGGTGACTGAAAAAAAATTTTTAAAATACCTTAAGTTAATATCTAGAATATGTTCTGTATATATCTTTCAAATCAGGAAAAATTAGGGGCTGGGATCAGTTGGTAAAGTCCTTGCCTCATATGCATAAGGTCCTAAGTTCAATCCCCAGCACACACACACACACAAAAAAAACAACCACAATAATAATAATAATAATAATCAGGAAATATTAAAAAGTACAAAAAATGGGACTGAGGGTATAGCTCAGTGGTAGAGTACTTGCTTAGCATGTGTGAGGTCCTCGGGTTCAATCCCCAGTATACCACCCCCCCAAAAAAGAATTTATAGCACATCGAAAGAGGATTTTTTAAAAAATGTAATACTCTACTTACTGAAAGAATTAATTCTTACCTTTCCATATTAATAGGTGGAGCATGCACTTTGGTTGCTTCAGAGGTACGTTTACCCATATTAGAGGACATGATAGTTTCACCTTCAGATTTCAATTTGTCCACAAAGTTATCTACTTCCTTTCCTTTGGCTCCAAGTTTCAAAGCCTTGCTGGGGCCTGAAGGCCTAGGTTGAAGAATACAAAATAAGAACACACATACATATACACAGAAGCCCAAAACATTAATGACCCCACATCAAAGAAGCTTTCCCTGAAGCTATTCTTCATTTATTTTTATGTGATGCTGAGGATCAAACCCACTGCCTCACATGTATGAGGCAAACACTCTACTACTGAGCTCCAGCCGCCCCCGAAGCTATTCTTTTTTTTTTTTTTAGTTGTAGATGAACACGATATCTTTATTTTTTTTTTTTAATATGGTGCTGAAGTTTGAACGCAGTACCTCACACATGTGAGGCAAGCACTCTACCACTGAGCTACAACCTCAGCCCCTGAGCTATTCTTAAGAGGAATGTGAAGTCCTCAAATGGAAAATCCAAACTTCCTACTGTTGGTAGACAAGTAGACTATGATAGTCTAATACGAACCCGCCAAAACTTGATAGTCATTTTAATATGTAAGCTTACAGTACCCAAACCAAATGTGGGTTTTGGGGTTTTTTTTTTTGGTACCAAGGATTAAACCCAGGGATGCTTCGCCACTAAACTACATCCTCAGTCCTTTTTATATTTTATTTAGAGTCAGGATCTCACTAAGTTGATCAAGCCTTGTTAGTTGCTGAACCTGGTTTTGAACTCAAGATCCTCCTGTCTCAGCCTCCCAAGCTGCTGGGATTATAGGTATGCACCAAGGCACCTGGCCCAAATATGCATTTTTTTATTCACATATGATCAGACGAAAACTCTGTAGCTTCCATTCAGATAAAATAACTACACAAACAAAATTCTGCATATAACTTCGTAGTTCAGAGATTCCCCTTAAACATTAAGATTAAACATCCATGTTCCATAAACAGTTAAACACCCCCTCCCTTCCCTACATAAGGCAATTCTAGTAGGAAACTGAGGTCATAGCATGATCTGTAAAAGAACTCTCTTTTACATAAAAGTAGTAATACCACATTCACTAATCACTCCCAAGTATACAAATACAGCCTTCCTCTGGCTGGTAATACACTGGACTATACCTGGCTGGTGCAGGTGCCACTTTTGGTTTATCAGTCTCAATGATGGTTTCTGTGATCATGGCAGCTGTGCTGCCTCCAGATACTGCAGAGCTACCAAATCCCCCAAATCCTGGTGCTTTTTTCCCTTGTCTCTCCGCATCTCTCCGTGCCTGTTGTAATTCTTTTGCTTTACGCCGCATCTCAGCCTTAGCTTCACGTTCTTGAGTCTACAAAAAGAGACATGTGGATATAACTTTGTGTACAAGCTACATTATCAAGTAAAAACAGGAAAATCATATTAGTGAAAGCTAAAAGACATTAAAACCAGCAGTCCCAAAGAAGACCCCACTCACCTCTCTGACTGCTCTGAACACTTTCTCCTCATGAGAATCCATTTCTGTGAAGGTTCTGATCTGTGCCAGGTTAACATTCTCCCGGTATCCCAGGGCAACAATCTCATCAAAAGCAAAAATCAAATCAAAACAGTGCTCAGATATTTCATTCTCCTCTAAGGCTCGGCAATACTCAGGAATCTAATCATGGACAGCAATGGAAAAGAAAGATTTTGCATTTACTAGTAGTTTTTTCCAAGTCTTATTTTTTTTTTGTTAATATTTTTGAGTTGTTGATGGACCTTTATTTATTTGTATGAGGTGCTGAGAATCGAACCTAGTGCGGCACACATGCTAAACAAGCGCGATACCAGTAAGCCACAACCCCAGCCTAAGTCTTATTCTTTGTTTTGTGTGGGGGGTGGGGTGGGGTGGGAGCATGGATTAGACTCAGGGGCACTCGACCACCGAGCCATATCCCCAGCCCAATTTTCTATTTTATTTAGAGACAGGGTCTCACCGAGTTGCTCAATGCCTTGCTTTTTTGCTAAGGTTCGTTTTGAACTTGGGAGGCAAGCGGCTGGGATTACAGGCATGTGCCACCAAACCTGGCTAGGTCTTATTCTTTCAAGTACAGAAATTTCATTAAACCTGAATACCTTTCTTAGCTCCTTCCAGTCTTTATTTTAAGCAAGACTTTGGCATAAAGTCTTTGTTTCTGTGTCTGCATCATTTAGCCTTATCTAAAATACATAGCCAAATAAATTTCCTAAATATAAAGGCACTAGCCATGCATGATGACACATACCTGTAATCCCAGGTACATGGAAGACTGAAGCAGGGAAAAAGTTTGAGATCAGCTGCTTGATAATTTAGTGAGACTGTTACAGCCTGGGGTTGTGGCTCAGTGGCAGAGTACTCGCCTAGAACATGCAAGGGCTGGGTTCAATCCTCAGCACCACATAAAAATAAATAAATAAAATAAAGAAGGAAGGAATGAATTTCTATATTCTCTCCTGGGATACTTAGAGTTCAGGAGAGGACCTAATGTCTGCTGAATGAATAAGGAGTTGGAGCAATAAACTGCTGAAATGGGAGAAGCAGAGCCTACAAACTGATAAGCATAAGCTGTCTTGGAGGAAAAACTAGCTTCACACAAAAATGTGGAACCAAGCCAGGTGTCGGGTCATGCCTGTAATCCCAGCAACTTCGGAGGCTGAGGCAGGATCGCAAGTTCAAGGCAAGTCTCAGCAATTTAGCAAGGTCCTAAGCAACTTAGTGAGATCCTGTCTCAAAATTAAAAATAAGAAGCTCAGTAGTAAAGTGCCTCTGGGTTCAATCTTCCTGTATCAAAAAAAAAAAAAAAGTGGAACCCAGAATTATTACAGAAAGACTCTTACCACTCTTGAGAAGAGCCTTAGGGTCTCCAAATCTTCTAAAATGTTGCTGTTTTTGGTAGTGATTAGTACCATGTACAGTTTCTCCATAGGCTGGTAGACATATCTTACACTCTCCGTTTCAACGAATGTATGCTGTTTTCCAGTGTTCATGAGCTTTGGGAAAGCTGCTAATAAGCCTTCAATCCGAGTTCGGGTCATTTCCACAAACTGTCGAGAAACAATAGCCTTTCCTGCTTTCGTGCAGACTGCTGCTGCCAACAGCACCTGCCGGGAACACACATTATAAGTACTAATTAATATTTCTTCATCTCTGTTTTCTCAGTGTCTCAGGGGATATTATACAGATTTGACATATTCAGGTTATTTAGTAACATGATTACTATTACAATGTTTTCACCTTCCACTGCTTCTTTAATTGTAGTATGTAATTTTTAACATTAATGTAAAGTAGAGGAAAATGAAACTATTATTCCATTTCTCAATAATATACATAAAGAAAATTATTATTTTAAATAATATTTATTTTAATTATTTTAAAATTATTATTTATTAATTAAATAAATAACCTTTTCTAATTCTACATATATATTAGTAATGGGTTGGTTGTGTCCCAGAATTGGGTTATTCTCCGATTTGGCACACCCATAAAGAATAACTTTTTTGGGCTGGGGATGTGGCTCAAGTGGTAGCGCGCTCGCCTGGCATGCGTGCGGCCCGGGTTCGATCCTCAGCACCACATACAGACAAAGATGTTGTGTCCTCCAAATACTAAGAAAATAAATATTAAAATTCTCTCTCTCTCTCTCCCTCTTTCTCACTCTCTCTCACTCTTTCTTAAAAAAAAAAAAGAATAACTTTTTAAAAAATATTTATTTTTTAGTTGTAGTTGGACACAATACCTCTATTTTATTTATTTACTTTTATGTGGTGCTGAGGATCAAACCCAGGGCTTCATACATGCTATGCGAGCGCTCCACCACTAAGCCACAACTCTAGCCCTGGTAACTTTAGTTTTTTTCTAAAAAAAATACAGAAAATTTCCAGTCAAAACAGAAGTCTAGTCTCCGGTACCAAAAAAAAAAAAAAAAAAAAAAAAAAAAATTTTAATTAAAAAAAGTAAAATTAGGGCTGGGGTTGTAGCTCAGTGGTAGAGTGCTCACCTAGTATGCGTGGGGTATTGGGTTCGATCCTCAGCACCACATTAAAATAAAATAAAGATACTGTGTGTACCTAAAACTAAAAGCAGATTAAAGGTTTAAGCAGCCTTTTAAGAAGCCCCTGACCTTTACTTTTTACCTAGAATATGAAACCAATCTAGCCAGTCTAAATTTATCATTTGCATTCCCATCCCCCACTATGCTATTCCCAGATAGTCAAACAATCTGTAAAATAAAAACCTAAATACTAGGCAATGAACAAGACCCAGCAGCCTTCTTCCAGCATTTCATTAGACAAAACAAAGCACCAAACGAAGAAGGGAGACCTTCAATGCCAATACAGAGGAGTAAGAAAATTAAGTACAGAGTCAACAGTCTCTTGAGTGTTAGAATACAAGAGTTCCTAAGCACAAATAACAAAAAAAAGATTTTTACACATTTGGGAAGCCTAAATGCTAAGATATGACCTCTGAAATATCAAAATCCTATTGATGAGACTTTTCATTTTTTTCCTTCTATTTATTTTCAATTTTATAGAAATCTGTCCCCTACAGATGAGCAGTTTGAGGGAAAAAGTCAGTTTGAATAAATATTCTTATAGTTTTAATATATTAATGCTTTTAGAATAATTATAGGAGAACCCATCCTCATCTTTCAAGGATAAATAATTAGGAACTAGGTGTGGTGGCTCACATTGGTAACCCCAGGTACTCAGAGGGTTAAGGCAGGAGGATGACAAGTTCAAGACCAGCCTTGACAATTTAGCAAGACGCTGGCTCAAAATAAAAAATAAAAAGGGTTGGGGTATAGCTCAGTGGTAGAATGCTTGCCTAGCATGTGCAAGGACTACATTCTATCCACGCACAGTTTAAAAAAGGAAGAAGAAAAAGAAGAATTAGGATATTTGGGAGACATTGAACAGCATGCTTATTTCCAAGCAGTAAGATAAAAAACAATTCATTCTAGAAAATGTTTGATTGATACCTTGCACAAGTAATTTCCCTCTATTGAACAGAATTTTGTTTTTACAGATTGATTTACTTCAAATGGGTCCAGGTTTTCTTGTGTGAAATCTCAAAAAATAATATTATCAACTGTTCCATTTCACAAATAATAACCCAAGTTTAGAAAGAAGTAGTGTTAGGAGTTATACAGTTCTGTTTATGTTTATGAAATTTACCTGTTATCCCAAATAAAGTTAGTTTTTTTTAAGTCATAAATCACCAAGCAGTTTGAAAGCTGGCCACGGTGGTGCACACCTGTAATCCCAGCAACTCCTGAGGTTTAGGCAGAATTGCAAATATGAAGCTGGCCTCAGTAACTTAGTGAGACCCTAAGCAACTTAGCAACACCCTATCTCAAAATAAAAAAGTAAAAAGAAGAGGGCTGGTGTTGTAACTCAGTGGTAGAGCACTTGCCTATCACCTGTGAGGCACTGGGTTTGATTCTCAGCATTGCATATAAATAAAATAAAGGTCTACTGACAACTTAAAAAAAAAAAAAAAGTAAAAAGGAATGGAGATGAAGATATTCCTCAGTACTTAAAAAAGTCCCTGGGTACAGTGGAACATGAAAAGCTGAGGTAGAATTATTTGAGCCCAGGAGTTCAAGGCCGTCCTAAGCAACACTGTGAGACCTCCTCTCAAAAACAGACAGCTGGGCTGGGAATGTGTCTTAGTGGTCAAGTGCCCCTGAGTTCAATTCCCAGTACCAAAACAAACAAACAAAAATCAGCTGGACATGGTGGCACATGCCTATAATCCCAGTGACTTGGGAGGCTGATGCAATCTAGCAAGGCCCTAAACAACTAAGACACTGGGATGGGGTTGTGGCTCAGCGGTAGAGCACTTGCCTAGCACATGCTAGGTATGGGTTCAATCCTCATCACCACATAAAAATAAATAAATAAAATTAAGTTATTGTGTCCAACTACAACTAAAAAATATTTAAAAAAAGAATAAGGTTTCTGAGCTGGATGTGGTGGCACACACCTGTAATCCCAATGGCTTGGGAGGCTAAGGCAGGAGGATTGAGAGTTCAAAGCCTGCCTCAACAATTTAGCAAGGCCCTAAGTAACTCAGTGAGACCCTGTCTCTAAATAAATACAAAAAATGGCTGAGGATGTGTCAGTGGTTAAGCACCCCTGAATTCACTCTCCAGTACCAAAAAAAAAAAAAAAAAGAAGTTTCTTATAATTTTGACACACAAATAATGATAATACCCTAGTACCTTACCAGAAATTAATCTAAAAGTATCACCACCCACAGGTTTTGTTTGTATGTCAAAGACTAAACATACTCAAGAAATTTGTTTTCACATTAATTTTTATCATAGGAGGTTCATGTTTCAACCATATACATATGTCTGGCAAAAATAAAAAGAACAAAATTAAAATGTGATTGTTGTTTCACCTTACCAATGACAAGCAAGTAAACTTCTGTGCTGGTTCACTAAGGGTTTAAATGCCATATATTTCCAAATATAAGGTAGATTTATCCCAAAATTCCCCCAGAAAAGAGTTGTACCACACAAAAACTTGTACATGAATGTTGATACTTAACATAATTCATAATACCTAAAAAGTGAAAATCAGCCAGGTGCAGTAGTGCATGCCTGTAATACCACAGCTTAGGAGGCTAAGGCAGGAGGATTGTAAGTTCAAAGCCAGCCTCAGCAAAAATGAGGTGCTAATCAACTTAGGGAGACCCTGTCTCTAAATAAAATACAAAGTAAGGGGGACGAGGCTGAATGGTTGAGTGCACCTGAGTTCAATCCCCAGTATCCTTCCAAAAAGTGAAAATCAATGTCTATCAGCTGATGAATTGGTAAATAAAATAAAGAATATCCATACAACGGAAAAGTTATTTAGTCCTAAAAGGAATGAAGTATTAATACATGCTAACAAAAATGAACCTTGAAAATATTATGCTAAGGAAAAGAAATCAGATGCAAAAGGCCACCTCTTGGGCTAGGTGATGTACTCAATGGCAGAGTGTTGCAAGCTTGATACCCAGCAACCACAGTGCTCCCCACCTCCAAATAGGTTATATGTTACATGATTCCATGTATATGAAATATCCAGAACAAAGTCATAAAGAAATAAACTAGTGATTGCCAGGGGATTAGATAAGGGAAATAGGGAGTGATTACTAATAGGTATAGAGTTTCTTTTTGAGTGATGCAAAGATTCTAAGCTTACAAATTATAAGCCAAAGTACTATAGACTTAGATTACACATGTTCACATTGTAAAACAGTACCATTACTAATAATAAGCATATATCCCATTAAATGATTTATACCACTTCAAGGCAGTGGATTTGTACATTTATGGGCCTGTCCATATTTTGATATTCAAATAATAGAAAATTTTTTCCATAAAAAAGTTTAGGAAAAAATTTACATATTAAGAAATGTATTGATCTTCTAGAATAATAATTCTCTTATGATCCATAGAAAATCAGCTCATAGCAGTGAGAAATATTAAGAAAGGGGAGCATATTGTAAATCCAATTCTTGTACAGCCTTCATTCTCACTCCAAAAGGTTGAGACTAGGGGCTAGGGTTGTGGTAGAGTGCTTGCCTTGAATGAGTGAGGCACTGGGTTTGATTCTCAGCACCACATATAATTAAAAAATAAAGGTCCATCAACAACTAAAATGCATAAAATAAATAAAATTTTTTTAAGGAAAGGTTGAGATAATAGCCCTATGAAGTTATACTCTACTACATTAGAATTTTATGTCTTGAGGCTTATGAGTAAAGATATATCAAATGTTTATCTAGAACAGGATCAAAACTTCAGACCTCAAAGCTCATACCTAACATATGTAATATTAAGGAAGATAAAAAAAACAATGCTTAAAATTCAAGGGTAGTTCTCAGGGTTCAAGCTGTCGTTAAAAACGCCACCACACATGCAGAGAGAATTTAGCTAAAAATTAACATCAAGGGCAACATGAGAGAGAAAAAGGAACAAAAAGATGCATGCTATGGAGGGAGCAACCCATCCACTTTATCGACTGGGCATGTTCAAAGGCTAATTATAGGTATTGGTAATCTTTATTTTAGCCATGTTATTATAAGAATAACTGAATTAACTGGGTAT